CTTCGCGTTGAATTTTCATCGATGTTAAGCCTAACAAAAATTTTTTAAAATAATAATCGTCGCTATTGTATTGTTAAAAATTACAAAATTAAACCTCGTTTAAATACTGGCTCCCTTTCATGGTCGAATGAGTGTTGCCAGCTAAAACACGTAAAAATAATATTAGAGTAGCCAAGACATAGCCAAATATTGTAGCACCACATCACTAGCGGACATTTGAAATTTGCCGACTAGGACGGTCAGTTAACCGAGGTGTCGGTTAATCGGGGGTCGGATAATCTACTGTAGTTTTGAAAAGAAAGAAATGTAATTGAATAATAGAATTTTGAAACACTGTTGGTGAAGATACAATTATAAAGGGCTTTCAGAAATGTTCCATTACTGATATTTTGGATAGAACAGAGGATGATGCACTGTTCAAGCAGGCTAAGAGCATGATGGCAATGAAAGAGAAAACAGGAATGATGATAATAAGAAAGTGATGATGAAAATGAAAGTGGTGAAGTATTTTTTCAGTGACTTTCAAGACTTTTAATGAAAATTTCTAATTTTTTGAATTGAAATGAAATAAATGAAGTTAATAATAAAAGGATGGCTTTTATTCAGATCCTAATATTTTCAAGAAGTTATGACTTCAAAATTAGAAATATTGTAAAGATTTCAAAATCAATTTATATTCAGGGTAGACTTACATTCAGTCCAATGTGGCATTTTCTATTTTATTTTGAATTAATTAATCAGTATTATGTCACATATTTATCAGGATTAAGCAAATTCTATTTTCTGTGAATTTTAATATCTTTACTCATATTTTTATACATTAGTTGTGTATTAAAAAGTTAAGAAGTTTTTTAAATGTGATACAGTAAGACCCCGCTTAATGGGGAGGATGCATTCCTAGACAACAAAGTGCTAAACAAAACAGCGTAAAACAAGGTCATTTTAACACAGAGTAAATAGGGATAGGGGAACATGCGACCAAAAATTTAAAAATTTTACTTTAATTTTAAGTTATTTTTATATTAATTTGTATAATAATATGTTAAATAACACATAAACAATTTCATACAGAAATGTAAAGTTCATTTTTTGTGATGAAGGTCCTGATTTTTCTGAAATTCTTGTTCTTTTGCAATAAAGTCGTGAAGTTTCATTTGTCGCTTTTTCTTTCCTTAAACAAACATTGGTAGTAGAAGATAGCATCCAAAACACCCCATTTTACTTTTGCACTCCTTTCAAAATCTGGATCATTCGCTATAATTTGATCAACAATTTTGGTTATCATTACCAAACTTTTACTAAGGAAATCTGTAGAGAAATTTTTTTGGGTTCTTCATTTTCAGAATCTCTATTTTCCAGTTCTACATGAATTCCTTGTTCTGCCAGTTCTTGAAGGTTGTAGTTGGTAAGGCTCTCACCAAAAACTGCCATAACTCCTCAATATCTGCTCGTCTATATCTCCTAGTCCTGCTGTATCAATTAGGTTGACAATTTGATCAACCTAACAATATAGCAATAGGCTCTTCTCGTTGAGAATTCTTGGATACCTTCAGCCATAACTTCTTCCACACTCCATTCGTGCATTTATCAGTTAATTCTTGCCAAGCAAAGTCAATATTTCCTAAGGCATCCATGATGTTATATTTTTTCCAATATTGCACCAAACAAACATAATTTAAAGAAAGTACACTTTTTTGCCACCTATTGCTGATTGGTTAGTGTTCACAAATAATCATATTATATATGAATCAATAAAATGCTGTGATAATTTAAATCATCATAAATTTTGAGTTTTTTTTTTTTTAGGCCTTGAGCAGATGGCGTTATACAAATCAGCATTAAGCGGGGTCTTACTGTATCCTGATTGGATATCAAATAGGATCAAAAAAATATTGGTATCAAATTGAATAATTTCTATATCAATTAATCACTAATACTGTGATAAAGAAGATTGTTAATTATGATACTTTTTTTATTGTTAAATCTTGGATACTATATTATTTTCAAGCAAGCAATTTTTCAAATGTGGATTCATTCATTTCTTCATGAAAATAGAATTTTTATGAGCATAAAAAGATAAACCTAATTCAGGAATAAAATCTTTATTGCTTCAAATACAAACAATTTTAAATCATCCTATTTTAATTACTAGTGCTTTCAAATCTACTAAATGGCCTTCCAAAAATGTTGCAGATGTAACTTGTAACTTTAATATCTTGACAAACTAAAACAATAAAAAATAAACATACACAAACACACACACAATCTCACAAAGTGTTATAAACTAATGACTTGAAAGAAATTTAACCAATGTCAACTACTTTATATTTTTTTTATGACTTCAACAGAGATTCATAACAATGATAAAATTATGTTACACTTTTCTTTCTTTCATAGAGGGACAGGGGCACACACCTATTTCAAATGAAACCCTAGAACAGTGTTCTACAACCTTTTTCATTCAGTGGCACCCCTAATTGAAAAATAAAAAATTGTAACACCCTTGACCAGCAGCGGATCTAGAATCTAAATAAGGGAGAGGGACTAATGGGTCAGATGAATTTTCTGCTATAACGAATATTACGCACAACGCAAAAGTGTTTCTACATGTTCAAAATCAAAATTTAAGTCCATTGAATTTTGTCAAAATACCTACATGTAAAATAATAGTCTCGCTATTGTTTTTTAAATATAGTTTTATTATCAAATATATCATCATTTTATTGATAAACAATTTTTGTTAAGTTTTTTTATATTATTTTGATGCATATATAAAATAAAATTTCATTATTTTTTTCTTATCTTTTTCATATCAATTTAAAAAATTTAAATTAAAAAAATGATTAAAAATTGTTTATTTGTCATCATTGCTTTTGAATACTATGAAAATACTGTAATATGCACCTACTTTGTGATTGAAACCACACGCTTTTCAAAGTACAATGCAACGCTTTTTAAAGCATATACAAGACACAAGTGTCCACGTCGTTCTTCTCTGGTGGTTGGCCTGGTACTGGGACTGGGAACATGAAGGCCAAGCAATGTGGTTTGGGCGAACTCGTGACAAGTCGTGCGTACACGTAGCGTAGAACATTACATTAACATGCGATTAGTCATAGTTTCTTTGCTTACTAGATATCTCGTAGCAAAATAGAACTGACAATAAGTTATCTTGAACTACACTTAAGTAAATTTCCAAGAAAATGCCTAAAGGCTCTAAACTTTGTGACACCCCAATCGTGGCACCGCAGCACCCCAGTTGAAAAACACTGCCCCAGAAGAAAGGTGTATATTTTTGAATCTTCACATGGGACATCCTGTGATTCATGTGTCCTACATATATTAAAATTTTAAATTTATGAATTGGTAATAATTATTCCATTAAGTTCTTTTTTTTTCTTTTGGAATTATAAAAGTATATTAATGCTCTTAATATTAGAGAATGAATTTTTAGTATAATATATACTAAAAATTTTCCAATAGTAAAAATAAGAATACAGTAATACCTCAACTTACGTGAACCCGGAGTTATGCGATTTTCAAATCTCATCAATTCGTCTTTTGTTTGAGCGCCACACAACTCTTGATTACTCACTCCCCCCACATTATTGTTCAGCTTACATGTTCGGACATGTCGCGCCGAATTGACACATAGCTACAATTTGTTTTGTGTTATTTATTTCTGTGTTTGTTATATCTACGGAGACTTGAGAGACTCTATATAGTGATTTCTTGTAACCATGAACGAATCAAAAGACGAGATAAGTACAGTAATACCCCGAACTTACACGATAGGTGGGACCAAACGATAACCGCGTAAGTCAAATTCGCATAAGTCGGGGTATAATTTCGCAATTTGTGTAAAACTCAAAGTCGGATGTATGTAAGCTAATAAATGTTCTCGTTAATCTTATCTCATCTTTTGATTTGTTCACGGTTACAAGAAATCACCACATAGAGTCTCTTGAGTCTCCGTAGATATAACAAACACAGAAATAAATAACACAAAATAAATTGTAGCTATGTGTTGATTCCGCGCGACACGTCCGAACAATAGTGTGAGGGGAGTGAGTAATCGAGAGTTGCGTGGCGCTCAAACAAAAGAGGAATCGACGAGATTTGAAAATCACGTAACTCCAGGTTCGCGTAAGTCGGGGTAGCGTAAGTCGAGGTATTACTAGATATGTATTGATTTTATTTCAATCATACATATTTGTAGTTATTAACAGAAAACTTATTTTAACTTAAATTACAATTTCTACATATCCTTTAAAATTACACATGTGACATTAGTCACATGTGTATTTTTGACTATAGGTTATAGAAGAGAATAACAACTGTTATTACAATGGGATTTTTCTATTAAGATATTGTTTCAAGCAATGTAATTACTTTTTTTGCATCCTCTATGTATCAGAATAGACAATATTTCTTTGCAAGATTTTTAATTTCCATTTCACATACTACAAAGTTGGCATTCAACCTCACAAGACATGTCTTAAAATTCAGTTTATTTTTATCCAAAAATTACATTCAATTTTAAACAATCACATTCATTCTCTTAAGCCTATCTAATAATGCATTATTATTAAATACTGATTATTTTACAATCTAACTTAATAAATAAATTCATATTAAGATCTACACAAAGCAAATGTTTTTATTGAATTATAATTACTATTAAAAAATCAATAAAACAAACTCTTATATTATAAAAGAGCTTCTTGTCTCAAAAATTGTTGAAACTAATATCTCAAATACTATAGTAGAGATAAGAGACTTATCACACTGCTACTGGTAACATCAAAATGATACTTCTATCATCAATAATAAAGTTGCATTCTGATGATATAAGTGTCATTTTGAAGTTACCAGTAACAGTGTGACAAGTCTCTTATCTCTACTATAATATTTGGGATATTAGTTTCAACATACTCTTATATATTTAAATGCTTATATAAACATCATTGTTTATTTAAAAATAAAAAATAAATTCTTACCTGTAGATATATTATTGGTAGATATTGATGACTGAGACTTAGTTAATAATGAAAGCCTTTCTAATACACAACTAGCAGATACTCTTGCTTCAGCATCATGATCCCAACAATCTTCAGCTGTATCACAGACAGCTGCTAATCCCTAATTAAAATCAGATTTATCATTATTATTAAAACATTTAAATAGAATTATTTATGCTAAAAATATAACATTTAGTTAAAAAAAAACCCTTCTCTCAACAGAGCACTTTGTTAATTTAAGATGAGTAGCACCCATTTTCACTTATCCCAGTAAAGTCAATGAGGACAAATAAAACAAAAAACAATCTACAAGCAGCATCTGATCCAGAGTTTGGCAGCTACTGAACAATGCCTGCTCCCCACATTACGGACAACTGATTTATAAACAACTGTGCCTAGAGATTTTATAAAAACAGCCATTTCTATGAAGAAAATAAAGATGATTGTTACACATTTACAATATAATACTGGCTCAAATGTCCAAGTTAATAAGGTTTTACAGTATTCTCAACAAAGAATTCAACAAAACAATGACACTGAAGATAAGCAAGATAGTTTTCAAATGAAATATATTTCTCAAAAATCACGCTGTCTGCTTAATAAAAATTTTGGGAAATAGGAAAGGTAGCAAATCCATTCATTATCTGCAGAACAATGTTCCCTCTAAGTTGCATGTAGTCATGCATCTACCATGATTGTACAGTAACTGAAACGCTGTCATGCACATAGATTTAGTCTGTAACTATAACTGTCACTTTTGCTACGAACAATGTTAAATATGCAAACTTAAGATTATTAACTAATTTTTACTTAGCTTAATAATTCCATGATTTTTAAATAAATCAACATTCTTCAATATATTGCACATTACTTAATTTTTATTCAACAACATTCAGGTCTTGTATAACAATAATTCTGCCTAAATGTTGTCTTTGTTTAAAATTTCATGTTTTAGTGTAAATCATTAATATAATATAAATACGTGGCGTGTTTTTTAAGTAAGTACCATTTTAAAATAGGATCACTGCAGTGCTACAATTGGTGTTCCGTGATTGTGCTGAGTACCTACATCTGTTGGTTAGCCACAGACGCGATTATGGAAGCATTCGTTCATTTTACATTTATTTGTGCATGTTTAAAATGCCTCAGACAATTTAAAATCCTGCCGATTGTGAATTACACATGATGATTCATTTTTTTAATGCAAAAGACATGAAAGCGGCTGACATTCATCAGCAGATTAGTGAGATGTATGGAAAAAACATTATAAGCAATGGAATGGTAAGAGAATGGATTAGAGCATTTAAAGATAGCTGTACTAATGTCCATGATGAGGAGTGTAGTGGGCGACCGTCTGTCATTACTGAAGACTTGGTGCAGAAAGTTGATGCAAAAATTTGAGAAAACAGACGCTTTATGATTTTGTCATCCAAAACAAAAAGTGTGGCAAGCTCAGTAAGGGGATTGTTTTGCTTCATGACAATGCCTGTCCACACGTGGCTCAACAAATCCAAGATCTTATCACTGGGAACAACTTGATCAGCCTACATATAGCCCTGATCTAGCGACTAGTGACTACCACTTGTTTCTCCACTTGAAAAGGCATCTAGCAGTCAGCACTATGACAATGTCAAAATACCTTGCTGCAGTGGTTGGCAAATCAGGCGGCAGGTTTCTATGAGGATGGAATTCGGAAGCTGGTTGTGCAATATGAAAAGTGCCTTCATATTAGAGGAAATTATGTTGAAAAGTAGATTAAGATACAGGCTTTCACGTAAGAATAAAATTATTTTAAAAATTGCAGTTGTGTTTTTTTAATATCAAAACGGTACTTACTTAAAAAAAATGCCTCATATAATTTAATTGATTAAATCATTCAATTAGTGTTCAAACAGTAAACTGTTCTATTTATCAAAATTAAAAATAAATCTATTCATTAAAATGTATCAAAACCTTTTACTTGTATTGGAATATATTAAAAACCAAAAACCATTTCTGGTTATTAACTATTACAAGTAATATAATTTTACCACTTAAATCATATAATCAATTGCATAAAGATTAAAATTTACTTACTGGATATTTTTTCCAATCTTTATTGAATTTTGGTCTAAATTTCTTTTGAACCACCACTTCTTGCATATCCTCAAGTGTAGGATGCTGTCCTATTTCTTCTTCAAATGGTAATAAATATTCGCCTACTGGACCTAAAATTAAAAATAAAATTTATTTATCTTAAATGTAATACATTAAAAAATACATTAACAACAAATAATGGTATAATATATACATTATGACATTGTTGGTATTATGTCAATTGAATTCTTTAAATTAACAATGAAAAATGTTCTAAAATTTTTATTTAATCTACCTGTAACTGTTGGAATTTATCAATTTTTCATATAGAAAAAAACATTAATTTTTATTAAAACTTTTTAATTTAATTCTATTATCAGACTTAACAATGAAAATACCAATTCAAAAATCAAGTCCCATAATAAAATCTTCTAATTTTTGCATTCTTTTATTACAGCAGAAACTATATTTTACATATATTTGAGTACTTTTTGAAGCATATATCCCAGATATAATTTCAAAAATCTAAAATACAAATGGAAAATGTATATGTATCAAGTTAAAAACAAAAATTCTCTTTCCAAGATAGTGTGTGTATAAAAAATTCTAATAAGAAAATGGAGTTCAAAAAAGCTGATTTTATAGAAAACTTATTTCAATTTTACTTATGACGTTAATAAAAAAAATTTTTAAATGGCACTAACAAAAAATGAGAATTTTTACCATTGTTCAAATTTTAACATTAAATGCAAAATCAGTTTAAAAACCTTCAAAATGAGCAATTATTGTAAAATCATCACAATGCCAGGCTGCAATTTTTAATCATATTTTTAAAATATAAGCCTTGATTTTAATAGTATATTGCTTCTGTGAATCATACTTTTCCTGTTAACAATACAATCATGCTAGTCATCTATCTAACTCTGCTTAGGGGACAATTTTTTAACTGAAATACAGTAATACCCCGAACTTACGCAATAGGTGGGACCGAGAGATAACCGCGTAAGTCGAATTCGCGTAAGTCGGAGTATAATTTTGCAATTTGTATAAAATCCAAGTCGGACGTATGTAAGCTAATAAATGTTCTCGTTAATCTTATCTCGTCTTTTGATTCGTTCACGGTTACAAGAAATCACCACATAAGAGTCTCTCGAGTCTCCGTAGATATAACGAACAGAAATAAATAACACAAAATAAATTGTAGCTACGGGTCGATTCCGTGCTACACGTCCGAACATGTAAGCCGAACAATAGTGTGGGGGAGTGAGTAATCGAAAGTTGCATGGCGCTAAAACAAAAGACGAATCGACGAGATTTGAAAATTGCGTAACTCCGGGTTCGCGTAAGTCGGGGTAGCGTAAGTCGAGGTATTACTGTAATTAACTTCCGGTGCACACCAGAAGTTCATATTTACAGTACATTTCGATATTCAACGGTTGACTCAACGGTGAGAAAATGACGTTTCTAAATAGACCGTTGAGTTGTTTGTTGAGATTAGTGATGTCAGCGCTGTTTCATCGTTGAGCTCAACAGACTCAACGACCTTAAACGCTGTTGAGTAGATAATGAACTAATATGGCGGCTTCCATGAAACAAGTAAACTTTTTGTATAAAAATTGTTGATTCACTCTTGCTGTGGACGATGTAATAGCAGACAGATTACTGAAAGGTATGTATGATAAAACGTTATTGTACGATTATATTGTATAATTTGGTCAGTATTGAAATACTAAGCTTTCTTTTTCAGAGGCCAACTATCTCAATGAATTCTTTAAAAATTTGATTGAAACAGATATTTGGCCATCATTAGGTTTGCCTAATGACTTAAATATTGAAGATATCAAACTTATTGAAGATAGATCTAATATAGAAAATGATACAGGTAAAAATTTTTTCGAATAATACTTACGTAAATTACTTTAGTTATTAATTTTTGTATTACATTAACAGGAAAGAAGGACCAAAATTATACAACAAAGAAAAGAGGTAAGCATATGATTTAGCATCTGTCATCCAGCAATGAACATGTCATAAAATCAGAAATACAGTAGAGCGTCAATTTTCCGGATCGATTGGGGACTGTGGTTGTTCGTATAACTGATATTTTGGATAACCGATTTATGTACGAAAAAATAGTTTAACATATCCGATGTTAAAATTTTTATTCATTGCGTGTCGCTTCGCGTTGAATTTTCGTCGATGCTAAGCCTAACAAAGACTATTGTATCGTTAAAAATTATTTTTTTATTTTGTACAAACAAAATAAATATATTGAAAAATATAAAAACAATAAAAAATTATACTTCAGATGTTAATTTAGTATCAAAAACGTAAAATATTTGAGTAGCCCAAGACATAGCCAAAGATTGAAGCGCCACAGCACTGGCGAAAAAATTAAAATTTGCCGACTGGAATTCTTTCGGATGATTGACTTTCGGAAAATCGATGCTCTACTGTAATTTTAATTTATTCTTGACATTTTTTTATTTCCAATTTTACAGATGTATGGACAGATGCCATTATTAAATTACTAATTTCAGAGAGACTGGCACTTGAGGATCAATTTGGAAAGACAGGAAATAAAAAAAAAATAAGGATAATGGAGTCACAAGGGTATAATTTAACTGATGAAGATTGTGACATGAAATGGAGAAATTTAGTAGCAACATACAGGAAAAACAAAGACAGGGCTAGAAAGAGTGGGAAAGGTTGCATCACCTGGCCATATTTTCAACTATTAGATAAAAAATATGGTTACAAAACCAATATATCTCCTCCAGCAGAAACACTATTGTCTTCTCTTCCCAGCCCTATCTACTCCCAACCTTCACCTATTGACACATTGAATTCTTTGGAAAACTCTACTATTGCAACTACTTCTATTCACAATTCTCCCCATCCTCTAATGACCAAAGTGATACTCCACATTCAAAAAAACCAAAACTGTCAAAAGAAGAACCTCCAGCATTGTTTAAGAACTATGTTGAAAATAAGAAAAAAGAATATAAAGAAAAAGAAGAAAGACGTTGGAGGGAATTTCAAAAGATGGAAGAAGAGAAACTTAAAGTTATGAAGCAATTATTAGAAATATTGAAAAAATAACTGAAATGCTTTTATGTACATATTTTTATACAAAATAAATATATATATTATTTATAACTATAATTTTGGTTTATTCTTTAATTTGTGGATTAACGAAGAGACGGTTTTAATAAAATATACAAATTCTCTATAGGCATGTCCTCTGCTTATTCCAAATCTGTCCGCAATGCCATGAAATGACTCCTGATTGCCTAACGAAAATAGTGACATCAACACAATTGTTTGTAGTGATGTTTCTCTTAGTCCTATTTGACCAGGGCCAGTCCTTTGTTCAGGAAGCTGTTCCATTAAAATCTAAAATAAAATATCATATTATAGTATAACACAATTATTTATTTTTAAACATTAATAAAAAGCTAAAAAAGCCGAATAAAGCAATTTTTCTGTAGATAGTTACTACAGCTAGCAATTCTTAGCAGAGACTTACTTTGATAGTGCTTCTAGAAAGACGAAGATGAGACTTAAAGTCCATGTCGTTGTATCTGGGAACGATATTTTCGACACAGCCTTCTATTTTGGCTTTTTTCGATTTTCCCGCTGCAGCAGCATACAGAAATGGAATATCTTCAATATCTTTTTTAGATTTAAAAAACATCTTGTAACTCCCTCTACTCTCAGAAATACTATTTAATAAAACAGTCATAATCGCCACCTTCTCGTTAGTTAAGTCAGCCATCTTGAAAAGCGACCTCTCAACACTACTCTCAACGAGAGTGTTTCTTTTTTCTACAAAATGTGATGTCAGATCGTTCAACGGAGGGATTCAACAGAAAATTCACTGCTGAGTCAATCGTTGAATATAGAAATGTACTGATAGTTAATCCTGCCTCTAAGCTTTCTATATTTGGTCTCAACTTTCATTTCTCTAACACCATTCTCAAGATTAAAGAAGGGCAAACAGACAAGATGACAGTGGGAATTTATAGGTCTATAATTTTTTCAAATTGCAGCCCAATCAGAAGTAAATTCTGATTCTTTGAAACTTTCTACAGAAATAAATTAGAAAAATTAAAATGCTATTAGTGATATATTTTCATTTTAACTAAATTTAACACTTTTTTTCAATGGCAACAGCAAAACAGTTGTACTAAATAATTTCAAATCATTTTTTTCATGAAGTAACTATATAAATTAAGAAATAAAATTTTTTTTATTTCAAGCAGTCTTTATGGAATTATATGCAATGATGCACAATTGAGTCACTGGCACCAGCTGAACAATAAAAGGTTGAAAAACCATTATAATTAAATATGTCCTGGAAAAATACAAAACTAAGAAATAAAATATAATGCTTCTTACACTTCCAAGTAGTAATAAATGACATTCAAAAAATAATGCACATACAATTTACCAAACACTTCCATCATCTGAATGATGCAAAACTGTTAAAACAAGAATTTTATCATCAGGTTAGTCATCAATAAATACCCAAAAACGTTAGTACTTCTATCATGATGTGTGTGATTTTTCAAAATCTACCTTTGTACAGTTTAGTGAAATCTGCCATTTTGTTCATAAAATACATAGATATTGTAATTTTGCAATGTTTGAACAATATAAACATACACTTCAATCGAAAACCCAATATCTTAAGCAAATACACCTACAACTGCCATAAATGATCAGGCTATATTTTGGATATACAGTCGACCCCCCTTTTACGGTAGATACGTTCCACTTTATAAGAATTTCACGTTGTAGGAATCCTTAAATATATGAGCCAATCACAGTCCGGCACTTGTGCAGTTTATGGACTACAGCTGTTTGAAAGATTTTCTTCCATAAAATTAATCGATTCTAGACTAATTTGGCTCAACATTTCCAAAACATGTATAATTTTCTGGGAATAATCCATATAAACTATACTATAAACAAAAAATTGTAGGATTACTTACCAAGTGTGCACCGTTTGATGTCACCATTGCTTAAGCTTGTTTTTGTCGCGGAGCAGCGCACCAAATGACGGCCACGATTTCTGATAAGTTATTTTTCTGCGAAAACTTTGTTGAACTTTGGAGACATCATTAATATAAATAATTTTTATGGCCATTGAATAAGAAATGTTTTTTTCACAAGAAATATACAAAATTACAGTACTGTATTATGACTTACAGTACCTAATTTATATACTGTACAGATTAATAGTAAACTCAACTTACCCGCCTAAGCTCTCCATAGCGTGTAAGTAGTTCAGCTGCTCGTCCACTATTGGTCCAGATTCGACCAATTCTGTCATGACACAAGTCGGCGATGACGTTTTACTGCATTTTATGAGTCTCTTTTAGCGTCTTTATACGAATACAGTCACAATTTTTTCGCCGCGATATATGAATCCGCATTATATGAACCCACGTTATAGGGGGATTGACCGTATAATTATAGATTAGAAATGAATTTGGCACTAGAGTGAGGCGTTAAGTGCCATCTTTTATTCAAATTAATAATTATAATATTTTATTAATTAATTTAAATTAAACTGAAAGAAAAGAATCAGCCTGAAGCTGGACTCGAACCCGCAACTCCCACTTACCATGTGGACATGTTGACATATAGCCTGATCATTTACAGCAGTTGTAGGTGTATTTGTTTGAACAATATGCATTGTCCTTAAACATACACTTGAGTAATTTTTGGATAAATTTGGTGATGACCATACATGATTGTAAAAAATGATTTTTATACAAATATACAGCACTATTCTTGTGCTTTTCTAATATTCAAAGCCTGTTAGAAAAATATTTAAAATTCTCTTAAAATAGAGTAAAAGTTTTAAAAATGTATGCCTCATAAGAGAGTCAAAGATTCCAACATCAAAAAATAAATAAATAAATATATCAACAAAAATACAAATAAAAATATTTTCCGTTAAATTTTTTCAGACAATATGTTTTATAGTACTGGACCAAATAACAAGCTTCCAGAAATTCAAAATCATCAGAAAACTGGATATTTTTGAAGCTGGCTAATTTTGAATTTAATGACTAGTACAGCTCCTTTGTTTTGATTTCCAAGTCATACACATCACACAATACTAAGAATTTTAATTGAATTAATAAAGATATTAAATAAAATTATTGTCTTTACTTTTCTTCATTTAATTTTAATCCTAAATACAGTAAACGTCTCTAACTCAAATATTTCTTTAACTTAACTCAAAGAAAACGAAGCATTTGGTAGGTCTCAGTGGAATAGCATAGGGCTTTAATGTCTCCAACTTGAATTTCTTAACTCAAATTTTCTCCAAGTTAAAGTTTTTCATGGTCCCCAGACAATAATTTATGTTACTTTCAACTTCCCCGACTTGAATTTTAATATTTAATCTATCCAAAGTGATTCTAATTATCGGATCTCCATGAAATTTTCAGACAGTTTTATCTACTCTGCAACACCAATTTTCAAGCAACGTTCCAGTCCAAAGTGAGAGGACCTCTCACTTTATCTCAACAAGATGTACCTATAAAACTGTTTAATTCCATTAGTAACATTGAACAATTTTCTGGTGTTACATGAGCTTTTAAAAAAAAACTATCAGAGATTCTTCATATAATACAAGAGAGATAAAAGTACAAATTATCTATTCAGAATCAGCATTTTTTACTCTATTGTTCTTTAACTTGAATCATCTGTAACTCAAAGTTTTTTCTTGTCATTGGAGCTTCGAGTTAGAGAAGTTTTACTGTATTACATTAACAAGATATTCTATACTTAATAAAACATTTAACACCGTCTATCGCTGAGAATACTTCATTTAAACACAAACGTTTTCAGCCTAATGGAATAGGCCATCCTCAGGTGAACTATTCCATTAGGCTGAAAACGTGTGTTTAAATGAAGTATTCTCAGCGATAGGTGTTAAATGTTTTATTAAGTGTTTTTAAAAGAAGCTGAGTTTGATATTTAATTAAGGTATTCTATATTTTAATAGGATTAATAATGATCAAATGGACTCTGTTTTAGAAATGTATTAATTTGTATCTGTTAAATACAATTTTGTTCTTTCCATTGTTTATTCTATATTTTAAGTATGTAGAATCTCTGGTCAAAAGTATGGAATAATGTTATTAATTCCTGTATCACAACATTTCATAGGCAAGTTTTAAAAAATATTTAATGTTTGCTTGTTGGTTTCTTATGCAACGTTTGAGAAGCTATATTTGCATAAACATGAAAAGCATGATTCATTTTACTAATCAAGAATAGGGACAAAAATATGGAATACAGACATAACAGGGACAAAAGTTTAGAATATGATGGGCATGTTCCATATTAAAGTTAATTTAGTGACACTGTTATTGAGTAATATCACACTTTCAGATTGAATCTGCAGAACTGTACTCATATTTAATGTTTGCATTCTAAAACTATGCCAAAAACACCAGAATTGAGTGATGCAAAGAATGATGATAATTTCATATTACAAGCATGGTGAAAAGAAGCAGATAATTGCAAAACATGTACAATGTACACAAAGTATAGTGTCTAAAATTATAGCTAAATATAAAACACAAGGAACTGTCTCCAATCAACATCGATGTGGACTCCCCCACATAACTACACAGAAATCTCATCAAAATTGTTGAGGAAGATTTAAGTCATTCAGAGAGATAAATGCTGAATGGAAAGCATCTGGTACAGATTATCTGAAAAAACAACTCACAGAAGGTTAAATGAATATGGCTACATATCAAGAAAAGCAAAGCAGAAACCATATCTGACTGAGAAGCATAAAAAAAACTATGTCTGCAGTGGGCAAAAGCCAACCAGAACTGGGATTTGATGCATTGGAAACAAGTTACGTTTAATGACAAGTCACATATTTGTATGGAATAGAGAGATAACAATGGTAGCAAAGTTTGAAGAAAACCCAATGAAAAGTTTCTATCAGAATGCCTTCTTTCAAAAACAAAATTTCCAAATGGAGTTACAATTTGGGGTGCCATGACTGCAGCAGGACCTGGACATTTGGAAATTGTCAACACTACAGTGACTGAAGAGGTTTACTTGAAAATTTTAGACAATTTTGTACTAAAAACAGCTGAGGAACACTTTGATTACTCGAACTTTATCTATCAAGATGATAATGCATCTTCCCACCATGCTAAAACAGTATGCCAATGGTTCCTAAACAAAAACATTTCACATTTAAATTGGCCACCAAACAGCCTAGATTTAAATCCAATAGAGAATTTGTAGAATGTTTTGAAGAAAATGGTTCAAAAAAAGAAACTAATTTCATTGCCAAATTGAAGTGTCATTTGAACCAGCTGGCCAGAAATACCTGCAGACTTATGTGAAAAATTAGTTCAATATTGAGACATGTTAAAGCAGTAATAAATGCCAAAGGCAGTCCCACACAGTATTAATTACTTTATTCTATACTTATGTCTCTGTAATTACTATATTGCATATTTTTGTCTAATGTTGCTCAAGTGTTGATGTGCTGTTTCTTAAATTTTTATATAATTGCTTCATCTCTTTTCTGTTGTTATGTGCAAAAGATTGCAAATACATTTTGTTAAAAAGAATTAATTATTTAATGTATGTTTTTTAAAACTAAGCTCTATGAATGACATACTGCAAAGTGCATAATATTCCATACTTTTGACCAGAGGTCGTATTTTGCCTGTTTCCAGAAAACTGGACACAGGCAAGCTTGCCACATATATGGTCAAGTACTGTATTTTTAATTTTGAACACATTCAATATTTGTAACTTAAAATTGTAATAGGCAAATGTGAAACTTGGACAGATTTTCAATGTTTTAATGTACTGTGCATTACAACATTATCAAATGAATAACATAATTACAATAATTTAAAATGGTAATATTCCTTTTGGAGATCTTGTATTTTCTTTTCTTCTTTTTAAATAGTCAAGTTACACAAAATTCAAATTTCAGTCTCTTACAAGGAAACTGCATGACATTTGGGTCACTGATTTTGATCAAACTCAGTGAGTTTATAGTGCATTCCTAACGACTGATATGTGGCAAGCAATAAGGTGCAATACTCAAAATTAAATTAGAAAATTGAGGTTGAAAATTGCAAATCACTTAAAATATTTAGAATTTCTATCGTTTGTTGATTGACTGGTGGCTTGGTGGGGATGCTCCAGTTCAAAACCGTGAGGTTGGTGTTTTGAATCTCTATAATATCAATGTAATTTTTTTTCCTAAAACTATAATTTTTAAATTTAAAAGTACCAAGAATAATGTGATTATATTGTCAAAGAGAAAAACTGATTTAGTTTTAGACTATATTTGCATTGTCCTTTAAACATACACTTGAGTAATTTTTGGATAAATTTGATGATGATTAGAAAAGTACAAATGCACAATAAACAGGGTAATAAAACAATAAAAGCCATCTGTTTCAAGTAACAAGTCAGTGTCAAAAGCTATTAACAAATGCTACCTAACAATATTTATTTAAAAACAAAACATTTTCTGTATTTTCATGTACAGTACATACTCTGGCAACAAAGTCATTGTTTACCCTAAATGTGTCTATAATTGCATCTTTGTTCACTAAAGAACAAAAAAGATGGCTTCGATATCTCAGGGTAACATCAATAGCATAGAAATGTGTTCTGCAGATGTGTTCTGCAGAAGAATCACTGCATGACAATATTACAAAATTCACATAATGAAAAAGCATCCTTGAAAATCAAGACCTAATTGCAGCCGAGCATTCATCATTCAATTTCAGAAGTTTGAAAGTTGGTAGAAAAAAAAAAAAAAAACATTAAGTGCTCTGATATTTTCCAATGTGATATGGTACTCTGACCGGAGGATCAGCACTTCTTTGGTGCCCTGTTCAGGATTGACACCACTGTGTCCCACTTGACACAGAAGTCGTGACAGCAGTTTGATTAGAAAATAGGTCACGCAAGTGATTGTATGAACAAACAATCGGATTCAGGATGGAGACTGTGAGTTAGCAAGCAGGAAGGGACACATGCAGAGACTAGGTTAATTAAACAATCGTTTATTTGTAAAGAAAATTTTATACATTTTATACCTTTTTTTATCATTAACAAGTTATAATAAATTGAATGGAAGAAAAGTACATCTAAATATGCCCGGGGTTGCACAAGAGAGAGTTCACATGAGGTTCGTATGGCAATAAATACCTGTAGTTGAAGGATCCAGTTGTCATGTTCCAACTGCAAAAGTTCATCTTTGGTAGGGGTGTTGTGCGGACAGTTCGAAAGTAGACAACTTGGAGAACTTTGGCAATATCTGTTAGTGGGATAGGTGATATCCGTTGCTGGAGGAGTCTTTGTGTGGAGAATGGGCAAGGAATCCATTAAGGTAATATAGGAGATCCTGAACTGGCTAACAGATTTGAGGGTCCGATGACAACTACCCTTTCAGATCAGCCGGCGACTTATCTCTGAAAGAACTAAACTGCAACTTGTTGAGTCGGGGAGGACTAAACGGTGACTGACTCTTTGGCCATTAATTATGCTATAAGCATGATATCACCCAGCCAAGAAGTCAACAGGTTACAGGAATGTGTCATTTTTTCATCGAGAAAACGTAAGTGGAGATTCTCTCAGGTAGCAGATGACAATAATTATTGAACAAGTATGATGACATCAACAATCAACCTTTGCTAAAATTTGGACAATCACAGTACAAATCATTTGCCTCCAAATTAGATGATGATGGAGAAGTGTTTTTAAACACTTTTAATCAAATTTATTTTTCCAGTAACACATGTAAATCATCTTTATATTGTAAAAATCTGCATTTATTCAATACATAAACTGCAGAAATGTTTTTTGTTTCACTAACTTCTATGACAATTATCATCCACAAAATTGTGCTCTCAGAGAGCAAATAGATTGCATAATGTTAATAAATATATCTTTTTATTAACTAAATTGGCCTTAAATAATGCTAATTATGATTATATCTAATCCTCTTCCCAAATAAATTATAAATAAATGCTAGTACAAATCCCATATGTACTGTACATGAATATTAAAAAATAATTTTTGAATAAATGAAATAAATTTAAAAATACAAAGAATAAAGTAAAAATTATAGTTCTGTATTAAAAAAAATTACATTGATACCATAAAGAATCAAAATACCAACCTCACAATTATAAAACAGATTATGCACTCCCACCGAGCCACTGGTCAATTGATAAAAGATAGAAATTCTAAATGTTTTAAGTAATTTGCAATTTTTACATGTCAGTCATTGGAGACGCACTACAACCTCACCAAGTTTAATCAAAATTAATGACCCCAACATCATGCTGTCCTCTCATCTATACTAATATTATAAAGAGGTAAAGTTTGTAAGTTTGGATGTAGTTAATAATCTCTGAAACTACTCATCCGATTTCAAAAATTCTTTCACCAATATTTAGAATGGATCTTCAGGGTGGACATAGACTGTATATTATTTCGTTAAATATTCATATAAATTAAAAGATATCATCTAGGATTAAGGCTTTTATGTCCAACAGATGGCACTAACTCCGTGAGTACAACAACCTAAGTTTGCTTTTCTGTGAGGATGAACTAAAGCAGATCATCTTCTATCTATCTATATAAATAAAAATGTAATGTTCGTTTGTTCCTACCGATTTCTTTGAAATTTTGACAAACGTTGCAATTGAATACGCATGTGTTTTCATATAATATACATGTCGAAATTATATTAGGACAGGATTAAGGCTTACTGTGAAGAACTCTGCTTCTATTCATACTATTTTAGATGCGGGTTTTTGCGTTTTTGATTGCGTTTTAATAGGGTAGGTCAACAGAATATACACTAAAATGGGATTTTCGATATTCCCCTCGCAGGGGAGAGGGACAGGCTTACCATGAAGAACTTGGCAGATACATTTTGAGCCACAATAACTTATGATGGGGTCTGCTAGTTAGTTATATAGTCGTTATTCTAGGTTACAAATATTTCTTGTGATTGTTGAATTTTCATTTATCTGATTAATAATATCATTTCAACTACATCCCAAAACAATTGTAGTAATCACTATTTATTAAAATTTTTAGAAACTTTTTGTAATCTAAATAAAATAATAATAATGAATATATTATTCTACACCTTATTATATTGTATTTTATAGTTAATAATAACAACAAATACGCAAAATTCATTATAAAATAATTTACGTTACCTTCTTGGGCACAACATCGTGATATCAATTCCCACAGAACTAATCCACAGGCATACATATCTATTCTCAAAAAAGCATCCTTGTTAAAATTTACAGCTCCTTCTAAAACTTCTGGAGCCATGTAACGTCGTGTACCAACCTAATATAATGATAAATATATATACATATATATTAAAAATAATTTAACGTAATCTTACTAACTATTAAACTATTAAATCTTAACTTAACTATTAAATTTAATATTCATAATGAATTCATTATTTTAGTTGTTATTATTAAAGACAAAAATTTATCATTTCATTAACCTATCCCATGTTGAAATTTTTCTCCATTGAGTGTCGCACCATGTTGAATTTTTGTTGATGTTAAGCATAATGAAAATTACACATTTAAAAAAAAAATAATTGTGGCTATTTTATCATCCTAAGTTTTTATTTTGCACAAACTAAATAGATGTACAGTACAACTTGTCTATGACAACCACACACAGTTCCTTCAAAAAGTGGTCTTTTAGACAGGTAGTCATCCAATACAGGTGGTGCTATAATACTGTATTTCCGTACATATTTTGCACACTTTTTAGCCATTTCTAAGCAAAACTCGAGATGAGCAAAAATAAGCAAATTTTTTCAATGAGAGAGCTATATTGGTATTTAATGAATATTTTATTCTTATCAAATAACTTGATTTACAGGAGTCGTCATGATTTTATAAGTCAGATTCAATACCAATACTTTAAAAATTAATACAATACTCGCATTTTCTCAATTATAATGCACACTTTCTTTATTCCAACTTAATTAATTCAATTTGGTTCTTTTTGTTTGCTCCTCAGTTACGTGTATTATGTCTCATATACAAGTGTGTCATATCTCTCCATCATTTTGGTTTTTGTTAGTTTAATCTTATTTTAACTTTAAAAATATTGTATTTTTTAATATTTAATATTTTCTTATGTACAATAAGATAAATTATTAATTAATAATAAAACAATTTTATTATTTTTTCTCATAATATGATTTCATTACATTCTGCGATTGTCCAATGACAATCACAGAATGTAATGAAATCGTAGAAATTGAAAAAGGAAGATTGCCTGTAAAACGCTATATTCACCGAAGTGGTTGCTTATTATTACAGTTGTTGTATGTTGTTTCGGACCAAAAATCGATGCCCACGGTCACGTTACACAGGTGGTTGTTTAATATGGGTAACTAATACAAAGACTCTATGGATAAACTATTCCATGCCAGAAATTTTTTCCCATTTTGACAGGTGCCTGTCAAATGCTGTTGGTCGTCTAAACAGTTTTCACTGTATTAATATATGTACAAACAAAAAAAAATTATATTTCGGAAGTTAGTTTTAATATAAAAATTATAACAACTAGCAACATCTAGTTTCAAAAATGTTCCGATGATGAATCAAAATATCTCAGGTCAACTGGTCAAGGTCATCCATCATGTTTCAGCCTGAAATATCTTGGGAATACCAGGGAACAGGTTAAAGATATTTTGTTAACATAGATAGATACAACTTATTTTCATACATTCAATATAAAAGCTATTTCTTCTATTTAGTTAAATTAAATAATTATTAATCACAACCAGATGATCTGCCAAATTATCAAGCTTTTAAAAGTCTAATCCAGCAGATCATCTGGTTGTGATTAATTACAAAAAATCATGTTATAGAGTTGTTGTTTATATATAAAAAAATTATTGTTTTGATTAAATTGAATAATGAAGTCAAAATATAAAATATAATTTCTATTGTATAAAAATAATCATAGTAATAAGAATTAGATTGTAAATATGTAGTAATTTTATTTGGGAGAAACTTCCTGAATTTCAGAATTTAATAACATTGAAATTAAGTTTTCTTATAAATTAATAAATGACAGAACAATGTTATGAGTTTCTTATGTTATTTTATAACAAAAAGGTCATAACATTATACAAACACATTTTTCATACATTTCCAGCACTCACTCATGGATTTTACCAAACCACCCCTATGTGTTCAGGTTGGTTTTGCCCATGTCACATGATTAAACCACAATCACTCTGTTTTCTTTTGGAAATAGTTACCTTTGTTCTGAGACGTAATAAAAATGGAGTTTCAAGAACAACACTGCAACATTAAATTTTGTCAGCATTTAGGTAAAACAGCTACAGAGACTTTAAAATTGCTAAGAAAGGTGTACGGTGATTCCACCATGGCGAAATCGAAGGTGTATGAATGGCATCAGCATTTTAGAGAGAGCCGAGAATCCATCGCAGATGATGAACATTCTGGCCGACCTTTGACTTCACAAAACGAGGAAAATGTTGAGTTGGTCACTCAATGTGTTCACAAAGATCGTTGCCAAACCCTTGAAAAAATCACTGTGGCTACTCACTTATCAAAGACTAGTTGCCAGCGTATTTTAACAAAAGATTTTAATATGCACAGAGTGTCTCAGCACATTGTTCCCCAGCTTTTGACTTCTGAACAAAAGGAAAAACAAATGAGAATATTGGGTGATTTAATTGACAAAGCCAATAAGGAACCAGCTTTTTTGAACCACATAACAGGTGATGAAATGTAATGTTATTTATTTGATATCCAATCAAAATGTGCTTCTCCAACATAAAAATCACACTCCTCACCATGATCGAAGAAATTCCAGTAGGATCGGAGTAAAGGGAAAGTCATGATAGAAGTATCTTTTGATTCTCAAGGAATTGTTCATTCAGAATTTATTCCTGAAGACAGAACATTAAACAAGGAACATTATCTAGACATTTTACATCATTTGAGGGAATCCATTCGTCATAAATGGCCACAGATCTGGCAAAGTTGAGACTGGTACCATCTGCATGACAACATACCTGCACATCGGTTCCAAATGGTCACACAGTTTCTTGCCAAAACTCAAATTAATATGCTTCCACACCCTGCCTATTCATCGGACTTAGTCCTGTGTGATTTTTATTTGTTTCCATCAATGAAAAAGCATTTGCATTTGCTTTTGTGTTGTCAGATGAGGTGAGAGCAGCATCGCAGGAGGCCTTATAGGAGGGTTTCAAAAAAATGGCTTCCAGCAGTGCTTCCAGAAGTTATACAAGCACTGGCAAAAGTGTATCGTCACCCAAGATAATTACTTTCAAGGCAATATAAACTTTTTAAGGTAAGGAATTTTATGCCAAGTCCCCGAACTTTTGGATCATACTACATTCAAAGGAGTTACATCGTATTATTAGTCTTAATTTTTGTATATCAAATATTTTAAGAATAACTGAAGCTATCAACATCTATAAAGTAGCAAGCCAAAAGGGTTTTGCATTAACAAAGAAAACCTCAACATATCACAAGCATTACTCTCTAAATGTAATTATAACAAATAACTTTTTATTAACCATCCACTTCCATGTGTTTAATATTACTATAAGTTACTTTTTGATGATAATATAAAATAAGTTTATTTTTATTTAAATTTATAAATATTGAATTACAATGTAAAAAATTTAAATAACGTCAAGGAATTTTCAAATTATTCCATTTTGGAACAATTTGGATGCCATCCAAATACGAAGGATTTGGATGCCATCCAAATACAAAGGATTTGGATGCCATCCAAATACAAAGGATTTGGATGGCTTCTAACCTGAAGCATGCCTGTAAATTTGTTCAAAGTATTGAGTGATGCTGCAAATGTATGAAAAGTGTGTTTGTATAATTTAACAAAACTTTCAACTTTTAGTCAAAAGTTCAATTTGGTCATAACATTGTACTCTGTGTCATATATTAATTTATATTTGTTCACAATGTCAAGTTCTATAATTTTATTAAGTTTTCATAAATATCAAAAACTTTTAAAATTTAATGGAATTAAACAAACAATAATTAGTGTAATTTCATGCAGATAACCCATAGGTTATCTGTGTTTAAAAAAGTCAATTTAAAAGCAGACATGAGTTATGTGATGATATGGGTTATCTGTCAATTTTAACTTGCAATTATGGTCAAATGCCTTTTCTTTCATCTAAAATCACCAAGAGCATCTTTAGAAAATGTGGAAAATTATTTGTGTATTGCAGATATACTCATCTACTATTTTGATTTTTCCAAAAATCATCATAAGGACATATACAAATGCCACACCTGTATTCCTCTCTGATTCATTTTCTGTGTATCCATTCACACTTTAATTGGTCTTATTCAACACTTTTATTTGATTCTGTATTTTGAAAGCTAATAAGGTGCTGGTAACCTCCTTCAGTGTAATGTACATTTACATAATATTTCTCTAGTTTCTTAATAAATTAACCATAACAATATTTATAAAGTTATGCAAACTTAAAACAGTGAAAGTGCACTCATATAATATTTTATTTTGTTCAATGGTTAAGATAAGTATATTTAATATACAGTCGACCCCCCATAACACGGTAGATACTTTCCGTTTTTTATGAAATTTATGTTTTAGGAGACCTTGCCAATCACAGCCCGACACGTGTGAAGTTTACGGACTACAGCTGTTTGAATGGTTTTCTTCCATAAAATTAATCAATTCCTAGACTAATTCAACTCAACATTTCCAAAATACGTATATTTTTTTGGGAATAATCCGTATAAACTATGCTTTAAACAAAAAATTGTAGGATTACTTACCGAGTGTGCACCGTTCGACGTTGCCATTGCTTAAGCTTGTTTTCGTCGCGGAGCAGCGCACCAAACGATGACCGCGATTTCTGATAAGTTATTTTTCTGTGAAAACTTCATTGAACTTTGGAGACATCATTAATAGAAATAATTTTTAGAGTCTAACTAAAATTAAAAATTAACTTATTTGTGCTTCTTAGTGTAACATATAAAATATTTAATCTTTTATTTATTTTTACAGGGTGTACTGTTGTGGCAATTCGAATTACACAAAATCATTTTTTTTACATTGGCACCTATTTGTAGCACAGTTTTTGGTACAGGCACATCTTGTCCTGTCCCAACTAAATGTTTGGTAACTGCAGTCCTTAGTGAGATTTGAACATCTTAATTAACATCACTTTCTTATAGAAATTTTTGAGTACAAAAGTCATACTGTAATAAACAAATATTTTATTTTGACCAAATTACGTAACATACTTATGCTTTTTAGAACAAACAAAACGGCGTTTAACATCGTGCTTTTTTTACTTTGAAGATCTTTATCAGGCCTTCATTATAAGTAAATAATATACAAAAACCCTATCTGAAAAAATTCATAACACTTGAAAACCTCTTCCAAATATAAAAACAATAATCATCAAAATCAGTTTTGTCCTAGGCCAAACTAGTATATCCTAACACGCGTAAGATAAACCCGTTTGGCCTAGGACAAACTAGTTTGGCCAGTAACATATCTATTTTGAACTAAAATATTTTACAAATTTTTTCTTTATCTGTGCTTAAATATACGTACATCTTTAATACATCTTTAAAAAGAGAGTTAGAGAGCTGTCCGTCTTTTAAGCGACGGACTTAGCCCTTGGAAGTAGGAAAGAAGAGAAAGCATGAGGTTTGAAGTGTGAAAAGAAAGGAAGATAGGAAAGTGTGAAAGAAGGCATGGGACCCATAGTCGCCTCGCATCGGGCATTTATTGAATCCTTAAAATTGATTTAACAAAAAGCCAGATGCAACTGGCAGTGGCTACATAAAAAANGAAATAATTAATTATAAAATTAGAGATTGTATGAAATGAAGTTCTTAGAAATGTTGTAAATGCATTAATAAAAGAATATTCCAAAAAGGTTAACTTTTCCCCAAGTATTTTAAGAAAATTATAAAACTTTATACCTGTCCTTGTGCATCTCTTGGTGATTGGCCTTGATAAAATACAAGAGCAAGACCAAAGTCTGCTATACAAGCAGTCATATCTCGTTTTAATAGTACATTTTTACTCTTGAAATCTCTATGGGCAATAGATGGCTTATATCCTTCACCTTTACGTGGGGGTAATTCTTCATGTAAATGAGTAAGACCTTTTGCTATAGATATGGCAATACTCAAAAGTTCCTTCCAAGTGATAAGATTCGCCTAATGAAAAAATTGCAAATAAAACATATTATTTAAATATAAAAAATTAAAAACATGTTTCTGATATTCAAACAAATTATTAAAAATTTAAAGTGTTCTTTCAAGCAAAATTTTATTTTATAATAATACTTAAATGCTTTATTAATTATTTGTCTAAATTTAAATATTTACAGTAAATATATTTTCTATTAAAAAATATATAACTTACCTTTAAATAATCACAAAGAGAACCTTTCTCATGATATGCTGTAATTAACCAATATTCTGAATGCATACTATCTCCATGCTTTTCTACTCCCATCCATGTCAATATATTTTCATGTTTCATTTGGGGTAATCTATAAATTTCTTGCTCCACAAACCAAGAATTTTTATCCTGTAGAAATAAATAAACTATTCTTATTTCAAATTTAACAATTAGTAATTTCAAAAGATATAAAAGAAACAAATTAAGTTATTAATTAGCGCCTTTCATCTCAATTATATTCATGATAACTAAATTATGTTGCTAATAAATTAAGTTTAAACACAGAGTTGTTCTGATATCAATTATTCAATACAATTATTACAAGTAATCATTTAAAATATAACTAGGACATCACACAACTTTGTCATATCGTGACAGAACTGAGGCAAGCTAAAAAGAAAGAAGCAATCCCTTCACCTGTTAGGAATAGAAGAGGCAATCCTTATACCTAACAAATGCAGACAAGCAAATTTTGCACTTGCCACTTCAAAAGAGGCTAACCTTGTACCTGCCAGCCACAGGAGAGACAATCCTTGCACTCGCCAACATGGAGATGCAATCCAAGAACAAATCAATAGCCATCAATTGTTTAGGTTTTGTGCATTTTTCATGCCTATTTACATTAAGTGCACACAATGCTGTTTTTATTTTTGATCCCTATGTTTAAATTCTGTTAGGCATGCTTAGTCTCATCAGAGAGCTTGGACATTGTCACTTTAACATCTTTGTATATTGTCAAAGTAATGGACTCCTATTTTTACTTTTCAAGATATGTTATATATAACATAGGGAACATACGTCAATTAGTCAAAAAAAATGATCCTCTTAAGAGTTTTACATTTTTGGACTCGGGACCTTGTAACGTCAAAAAATGCAAAAAATTCAGGTTATTTTTTGTATGTTAGTGTGGGGAACACAATTTAGTGGGGGAAACTCTCTTTGAAGCTCAATAACTGCTGTGTTTTTTGTGAAAAATTTCTGAAATTTTGCAGGGTGGTTTGTGTATTAGGAAGATTGATGCTATTAAATTTTGGTGGTTAGAAGATTGACAGGGTGGGAAGATAAAGGGGGTCATGTGTTGTATCTTGAGTAGGATTGGACTTAAATGATGATTTTACTCATTACTAGTATTTACAATTTTTTGTAAAACCAACCCCTATCCTCAAAATTAAGCTGTTTGCCATTTTATAATAATTAAAAATAGAAAAAATTTTTAATAATAAAATATCATAAAAGATGGTCACACATGTGCAATTTTACTTTGTACAAAACACAATTGCTGAGAAAGTTAAGCAACTCATTGCTGGATGTTTTACATTTAAATGGACCCACATTACATTTATGGATTCCTTATCTAAATTAATAAAAAATGGCAAAGTTTTATCAAAATCAGCCTATTAAATTTTGAGAATGAACTCGATTCTATAAGCCCATAGAAGACATGCTAGAGACCATGAAACATCACACAACAAAGTCACACGTTTCATATGATATTGCTTTGTCGCACACTTGTGAAACAATCTTATAACTCAAAAATGAAGTCATGAACCCCTAATTTTTATTACATTTTTAGATTCCTCATTGCAATTAATTTAAAATGGCAAAGCTTAATCAAAATTGATCAAAAAAGATTTTGAGAATGAACAATTCTGTAAGCCAAATAGAAAAGGCTTTGCTAACACTTAATCTCAAATATGGTAATAAAACTCCAGGTAAAAGTGCTGCTTGTTCAGTTTGTTTAAGTTTTGATAAAAAAACAATACATCACAGACACAATCAAGTAGCAAATATAATACAACAAAAAATAAAAATTGGTAGACATCCATAAGCAAAAAATATAACTTCAAAAATTCTAAGTCAAATTATTCCAAATTTTCTACATAAACTGTTTTTCTAAATTATGTTAATAAAATACATGTATGCAATTTTAATAATATAATTTAGTGTAATTGATAAAAACTATAATTAAAATAATTTAATTTAAAAAATATGATTATATTGATTATATACATAATCATCTCCATATGCCTTAGAAGAGTGAAAGCATTTCATTATATATAACAAAAGTGAAATAGTTCAAACAAAATGAATGGCACAAGCCCAGAAACAACTAGTAAACTAGTTTAAAAAAGTTATATGACCACAAAATATTATGTGAGCTTCAGTTTACTGATTTATAGTTCAATAAATTAAAATAATTTTGTGAAAATCAGAATTAACTGAGTAATGAGAAGGAAAAAACCTATCTAAATTAGAGAATGAACAGTTCTGTAATAATTCTATTATTATATTCGTAGATTAATTTAATGTAACTCTGCTTATGTTATTAAGAAAAGAAAGAAAAGAAAAGCTGTAACTGCTTTCCAGCCCTCAAGCTTTGTTAACTCTGCTATTACTTTGCTTATTCAGAGAGCACTCTTCATTCCATCCTCCCAGGCATTAATTGATGAAGAATTACAAATTATCAACAGAGCAGTGCACAATGCCGGATATTCTAATTCCAAATATCAATATCTCTACAACCGGGTCATAAACAAATTGTTTCCAAAATCTTTCCTCTGCAACAAAGTCTAAAGATAATAAACCCTCCAATACCGTACTTGGGCACCATCTCACTAAAAATAACATGCATATTCAGGAAGCATGGTTTTATATTACCTATAACCACTCAACCATCACTACAAAGAACATTGTGCAACGATAGAGACACTCTCACGTTGAATGAAAAATCGGGGGTTTATAAAATTCCATTAAAACATACAATATCAGGGGAGGAAATTATCTATATTGGAACTACCACCAGAATGATATGGTCCCGCATCTTTGAACATCAAGAGGACATTAGAAATAACAGACCTGCTACAGAATTAGCAAAAAAGGTTCTAGACCAAGATTATCTTTCACTTTGGAACCACATTAAATTAATTAAGCATTGCAATGATCGTAGGCAAATATTCATATGGGAAAACCTTTACATATCTGCTGCTTTGCCATGTAATGCGCCGACACTGGAAATACCACAGCTATAGATAACTTTATTTAAACAATCCAAGTTATAATTTTGTGATCTGATTTTATTCCACTACCATGCACAGCACCATTACTCAATATTTATATGTTTTGGGGAGTTCAAGTTATTACAGCATGTTTCTTTAAAAATATTTATTTATTCAATTTTTATTAATTTGTTCTATATTCCAACCACGTGCATTACGTAATTTGAAAAGTCCGTTAAAAGCTGTCAATTCAAAAACAGAGGTATTCGATTTTGCCTGAAGACAACAGAAAGATTGTAAACTGTCGAAAGTACTAGCGAGCATATCTGAAATTTAACAAATCGCTGTCAATAACACCACAACACGACAGTGTCCTATATAGCATCTTAACTGATTACCTCTGGCCAAATTGCTTTTGTATCTATTATTAAGTAGCCTTAATATAGCCTGATAAATACTGTAATCTGACAGATTGTTTTGTAATACTAGTGAATGAAGCTGATGCATATGGTACAACCAAGGTTTTAAATGTGCATTAATGTCTATAAGAATAATAATAATAAACAAGAAACATCACAATTACATAAAGCAGTAACTCTAGCCGACTCAAATAGCACACCATTAAACTTACATTCACATCACACCTACATGACACAACACATAAAAAGCATAGACACCATCAAGCAATCGTGGGCTCAAAAGGCATTCCATGGCAGGCATCCTTATGACCTGGCCCAGGATTTTGTTGACAAAACTGCGTCAAACAGCTGGTTAGATCGGGGATGCCTCTTTGGGGAGATGGAAGGATTCATGATTGCCATACAGGATCAGGTCATAAATACTAAAAACTACAGAAAACACATACTCAAAGATACAACACTCACAAATGACACATGCAGAAACTATACAACACATCACTTTTGGTTGCAAGCTCTTGGCACAGACAGATTATTTACACAGACACAATCAAGTAGCAAATATAATACACCAAGAGCTTGCAAACAAACACAAATTGGTAGACATCCACAAACCATACTACAAATACATTCAACAGACAGTATTGGAAAACAACACGCACAAAATGTACTACGACAGAGCTGTAATCACAGATAAAACAATTTACCACAACAGACCAGACATCACACCGTTGATAAACACAATAAAATCACATACATTATAGACATAGCCATTCCAAACACTCACAATGTACAAAACACATGCACTGAAAAAATTAGCAAGTACACAGAACTCGCCCAGGAAATAAGGCATCTGTGGAAGATGGATAGGGTGCTTATTGTACGAAGGCTGTTCGGAAAGTTTGCAGCCTTTCCTATATGCAGCGCGGCGATCAATTTAATTTTTGGCAGGAATAATTCAGTCATCTTTGCTAGAGATACAATACCAATTTCCACTTGATTTGTCATAAAGTTTTGCCATGACAGCTTAGCAGATAGTCAGTGTGCACATGCTTTGTCAAAAATGGAGAAGACGGAGACTCATGCAGTCATAAAATACCTGACGAAAAAAGGGTTGACCCCATCTGAAATCAAAGCTGACATGGATGAAGTTTTGGGAGAGTCTGCTCCTTCGTACACCACTGTGAAAAAATGGACAGCCCTTTAAACAGCTGGCAGAGAGTGTGGAAGATGACCCTCGCAGTAGACGGCCATCAACTGCTGTCACTGAAGAAAATATCGACAAAGTTCACGATTTGGTATTAGCAGATCGCCGTTTGAAAACGCGTGAGACAGCTGAGACAACAGGCATCTCTGTCGACAGAGTACACCACATCCTAACTGAAAATTTGGGTATGACGAAGGTCTCAGCAAGGTGGGTGCCACATCTGCTGACTGCTGAGCAAAAACATATTCGCGCTTTGATATCAAAGGAGTGTTTGGACTTCTACCAGAAAAACCCACAGGATTTCTTGCGTCGGTTTGTGACTACCAACGAAATGTGGATCCATTACTACAATCCTGAAATAAAAGAACAGTTGAAGCAATGGAAGCACCACATTTCGCCACCACCAAAGAAGGCAAAGACAGTTCCATCAGCGGGGAAAGTAATGGCCTCGTTTTTTTGGGATGATAAAGGCATCATCTTTATTGATTACCTAGAAAGAGGAAAGACCATTAATGCTGTCTATTACTGTAAACTTTTGGAAAACTTAAGAAAGAAATCAAAGAAAAGAGGCCACACTTGAAGAAGAAAAGGGTTCTGTTCCACCACGATAATGCACCTGCACATTCCGCCAGAATCACTGAACAAAAGATAAACGAACTTCGCTTCCAATTAGTTTCACATCCACCGTACTCACCTGATTTGGCCCCCAGTGACTTCCACCTTTTTCCAAACCTAAAAAAATTCTTGGCTGGAAAGAGATTCCACTCAAATGACGAAGTCATCTCTGAAGTGAACGAGTATTTTGCACACCTTGACAAATCGACCTATTGTGATGGCATAAAAAAGCTAGAACATCGCTGGAATAAGTGCATTGCTAACAAAGGAGACTACATTAAAAAATAAAAAAACTTATAACATTTATTTTGTTTATTGTTCTATTTGAGACCGCAAACTTTCCGAACAGCCCTCCTACCTGTTGTTCTCTCCTGTACAGGTGTGCCACACACACTACACAAAAGCCTGGGAACATTACAATTGAGTAGAAATACATACATCACACTACAGAAGGCCACTATATTGAATACATGCCACATTGTTAGGAAATTCCTGAATACAGACACAGACACACTTATTTAATTTTAGTTCTTGGTTGCTATGCCTTGACTCTGTTCCGGTATAGTACACAGCCACCAGTGTGTACCAAGTATAACCCACTAAACACAACATAATAATAATAATAATAATAATAAACATATAAATTCTTTTTTGATTATCAAAAGTAATTTTTTAGAACTACTTAATTTTTTTTCTTAAAATCACCAATTTCTTAAATAATTTCTCTAAATATATTAATTATCCACAATGACCATGCAAAATACTCAAATTAATTGTAAATTTCTTAATTCCTACATATAAATGTCTCATACTAAGAGCCAAATGAGCTTTAGAGCTTTAAGTAAATTTTATAGCTAAAATTAATTGAATTATTGGTACTGTGTACTTCATCATAACAAAACTGCATATAAGGACATCCATAGGATGGACGAGATGGTAAAAGGTGTTAACATACCACTATACAATGTCAGTTCAAAGGCAGATTAGAAATTTCAAAATGTTTTACAAGTAGTCTGTTTCAGACATGTCAGCCATTAACATATAGTTGCTCCCACCTTATCCCATTGTGGATTTGACCAAACCCATGATGGGCAAGGAAAAAAAACGTCTTCTTAGTATGTATAGGACAGAGTTTAAAAAAAGCCACATAAATTGCAAGTAATACTAAATTACATTATATAAGTATTTTATATTAAATTTAACTAACAAGAAAATTTAGTCCAATAAAAGCATTTTTTTTTAACTTACCTGTGGAGGAAATATTTTTACTGCCACATTTACATTTAGAATACGTGCTTTCCAGACAGATCCAAATCTTCCTTGGGCCTTGACTTCTATCAGCTGAATTGGATGAGAACCCAACAATGGTGATGGTAGTGGTGATACTAATGATTCAGCTGTTGGTACTTCATTAAAATATAACATTCTATGATTTCTATAGACCCAATAAGCTACAACAGTTATTAGAGTTAGCCCCACAAATGGAATCAGTGTACACATCAAAATACTAATAACTTGACTACCACTGCTGGTTAACTTAATGGGTATACTTGTTATTGGTTTAGCAGCTAAAAAATTAAATAAACATCATCTTATGAACTTGTCATTTTGTAAAGAACATTTTTAAAAATTTAAATTCAAAAAATATTCAATAAAAAATGCTATGTTAAATTTTAACCTTAATTTAATACCAAAAATTTCAATNATTTAGCTCAATGCCAGCAATCATTAGTAACATAAAAATTATTATTCGAGTTAATGAAACATTTAAACAACTCTTTTCAGTTCTACACTTAATATTCTGTTGTAAAAATTCCATGTCTAACGTCGCCATAACAGCTCAGCAAAAAAAGTCACCAACCAACTTGGGTTATAGGAAAAGTACAATCGAAGGGCTAATTAAAAGTTATGAAAGAGGCAAAAGGTTAAGAACCCGAACAGTTAAAAATCACCAAGTTCACGTATAATAAAAACATCAAGGACATCATGAAGCAAGTTTCAGACAAAAAACATTCTAAAATTGTTTACAAAAGAGCTCCTAATTTGAATAGTATTCTTAGAAACGACAAAGACAAGCTTAAGAAAGAAGAAAAAGCGGGCGTGTATAAAACTCCGTTTGAAAACAAACAGCTAGGAATTAAGAAAGACTATATTGGAGTCACAAGAAGGAATTTAGCTATTAGACTTAAGGAACACAAATATAACATTAATAAAGGACACTGCAACACTATTTTAAGTATGGCACAAGCTGAGGCTTCAGTGGTTAAATGTAAACATCGATGATCATATTGAAGATGAAACTTTTACTGATAATATTGATTGTCCCAACAAAATATTATCGGATAGGGAAAAATTTAATACAGCACTGGCGATAACTAAAAATATTGCAGATATTTTGTCTAATTATGGAACGCAAATCTTCAATAAATATGTAGAGGGATTAAAAGTAATAGAAAGCAATGCAAAAAATGGAATTTCTCTTTTTGAACATGAGAATAGTGGGCTTAGTACAATTGAACCAGAAGAATCTGAAGAACAAATTCGGTATAATAACGAGCCCCGTTCAAATCGATCAAATAAAAACTTAAAATTTAAAACTAAAATTAAATCCAAAGGACATCTGAAGAGAAAGACTAAGCAGACCTCTTTTTACAAAAATAAAATTAAAATACAGAATAAAAAATAATATATTTATTTTACTTTATTGGTATACCTACCAATCTACTTTAAATTTCATTACCTATATTTCACTGATTTAATGATACTTCATAGTTTATTGATTACTTTATTGAACAACATTGTAACTGAATTTTAATAAATAAAACTATAATTATTTATAATTGTGTAGTTATTATCAAAATATTAATTATAATAATAGCGCATACACTTAGTATCCAGCCGGAATATAGGAACATGCAGTCAGTATGTATAAATAGCCAATTGAGTATACATATCATATGTATAAATAGCCACGTATATAAATAATTGCTCGTTAAAATTAGTTTGTTTTATTTGGTTAGGACAACGAGACACCGAATATGCCGAGGGGGGAAGCATTCCAGGAAGACTTTTATGAAAAGCTTGATCTATTTAAGTGTTACTAATTTGAAGAAAACATGGAAAAATCCAGCCCGTTGACCATGCCCGAACCCTCGACTAACTAACTACAAGGGTTTGGTGGTTTTATGCACTAGGCTACTAAAAAGCGCTTATTAGAATTCAGAAAGTACCGTTTAGAAATGAAAACACTCGAGTTGTTGAATGAAGAAAATTAAATTCTTATAGACTTTTCACAGGATAACACTTTCGATTCCACGCAGTCCACAACATTACCAGGAAACGATGTGAAATAAGACGAATTCGTACCTACGGGAATTTTCTTTATTAACTGTATTTTAGAATACTTTCTTGCGATATACAAGTAGCGTAAGAAATTTAAGAAAATCTAATTGTAAAAACATGTAGCGCCATCTATTGGAGCCGCGTGTAATTCAGCAAATCAAATGGTTTTTTTTAATTTTTTGCCAATAGACGGCGCTACGTGTAAACCAACAAACAGTATGGAGATAAAAGTTAATTGATTTAAATAAATCCAGATATTTTGGGGTGGAATTTCAACATTATCTAAGTTAGCATTATATAAACGTAACTGCCGATTGGTCGAACAGCCTAGGCGTGTATAGCGAACAAAAAACAAACAATCATTGTCATTTATATAGATTATTACTTTTTATTTTTGAAATTCATTTACTTTTATCTTTTAAACTATTATTTTTTAATACCAATTAAAATATATTCATTTAGAAAAATTACAATTTTTAAATCTACAATACTAAATTTAGTGAGAAAATACATTTATATTCTTATTACTTAATGTTCATCTTTTTCGAACAGCAAAGTGAAGAACAATCATCCAGAAGGGTGTTCTTACGATATGAAACTACGATCTGGCTGATAAAACAGAATTTTCTTATTTTATAGAATAATTTATAGATATTTCTGAACAAAAACTATTATATATATATATATATATTATTTACATTGGCTGAAACAACTATTTTCTTCTTGCTCTTGGTCTTTTCTTTTATCCACAGGATAGTTACGTACAAGAGTGCAACANACATCTTTAAAAAGAGAATTAGAGAGCTGTCCGTCTTTTAAGCGACGGACTTAGCCCTTGGAAGTAGGAAAGAAGAGAAAGCATGAGGTTTGAAGTGTGAAAAGAAAGGAAGATAGGAAAGTGTGAAAGAAGGCATGGGACCCATAGGCGCCTCGCATCGGGCATTTATTGAATCCTTAAAATTGATTTAACAAAAAGCCAGATGCAACTGGCAGTGGCTACATAAAAAATTTTGGTCCCGACAATATAAACTTAAAATAACAGAAGAACAAAGAAAATTGAACACCAAAAAAGTATATACAGTATGTACAATTTAACCACAACTTGTGGTTAACATAATTGGATGTGTCCAGTGTAGTGGTCAATTCGGCCACTATGAAAAGTCTGATGGTTCCAATCAATTGTTCTAATTGTTGAATCATATTCACCATTCATGTAGGTCGAAGACATACTGCTGTCCATCAACTCGATGGCTTCTACAATGATCTTCTATTGTCGTTGTATTCCAAGAAGTTTCCGGAGTTGTTTCACGTAGCTTGGGCAGTGCTTATCCATTGAGTTGTGATTTACCTCTGTTAGACTGTTTCTTACACAATTTATGCATGTTGCTGGCCCCTCTTTGACGCAATCTTTATAGATGTGAGCACCGTTACAGTGACTACACACCTGTTCCTTTTCTTGGCATTCTTTCGCAAAATGTCCGAAGTTCAAACACTTAAAGCATCGTATCACTGTTATGTGGTCGTAAACTGTGCACCTAACCCATCCTATGTACAATTTTTCTTCGTTTATTAAAATTTCTCTGATCATGGGTGAAACCTCCATTATCCAAGTCTGTAGTGTCGAGTCTTTTTGAGGAATTGAGTATTTTATTTTTATCTGCTTCTCTACAAATGTTTCAGATAAGTTCTCTGATAAGCACATGTTTTGTTCGTACATTTTATGTACGAGCTCCTCTTTTTCAATATCCTTTGGGACGGAGACTATTTTTATAGTTGGCAGTTTTTTCTTCCTCTCAACCGTTTCCAATTCTTTAATCTTATCTAATTCTTTTTTCAATGTTGTCATATCTTCTGAACTTGTTAATTCCACTACCACCCCTCCATCTTTAATCATTCTCATCTGTTTGACACCAATATTTATATCTGTAGGGTTGACATTTTTAACCATTATCTTTTTGATTTCTTCAGATGTTTTCTTCTTATTTTTACTATGAACCAATATTGAGTAACGGGGTGTTGGCGTAGGAAGAGCAATATCTGTTTGTTTTCTCCCCAATTTAAGTATTTCGCTGTAACTTGTATTTTGTGTTTGCGCACTAATCGGTTTAGAGTAGCTCTTATTTAATTCTGTTATATCCCCTTGCACTGTCGTTATTGCATCTATAGTTTTCTTTGTATTCTCTGTAATTAACTGTTCTAGTTCTCTTTTTATATCAGACCTCTCCTCCTCTTCACTTTTCCCCGTTTCTTTCATTTTTCTAATTTCTCTAATTTCCTCTCTTAATTGTTCAACCATCTGAAGTGTTTTTTCGTTATTTTGCTGTACAATTTCTTTTATTTCCTCTTTTAGATTCCCTAGGGAATCTCTATCCAACCTTGTTGTTGATCCTATCTCTATAATCTTTATCTCTGCTAATTTAACTATTTTCTGTATGGAATTCATTATTATATTATAATGATCAGGAGTTGACATCCTGCCATTTCTATTATCTTCGATGTAATCTTGTAATTCTTCTATAATATTACTTGTGTCTTTGTTAAATTCTTTTATCAAATCCTTCCTTTTTTCATCCATAATTTTAATTAAAACACTTATTTTAATTTATCTTATTAAATAAAGAGATAATTTATTTTATCCAAGTCACTTCCTGTTTACTTTTAATATCGCCAGATGGTCTGGCAAATAGCAACAGGTGTTCCGGTCAATCACCGTTGCTATAGTAACGGCCGTTATAAAAATCGTTATTTAAAGTACAGTGGTGGAAAAGCTGATTTTTTTCTTATTTTATAAATTGTCATAACTTATCAAGTTAAAAAGATTCTTAAACCAAATTTTTAACGAAAGTTACTGAACCGTAGGACACACTAAAACCGTCGAAATTTTCGTCGATTAATAATTCCCTAGCCCGATGCGGGCCTTCGATTCCCGATACTATCCTCTCGGAAAAGTTAAATAACTTCTAAAATAATAGGTCCTAGACCTCCAAATTTTAATACAGTACTCACATATGCATACGGTATGGTCCCCCGTTGCCGTTTCCGGAAGATCAACTTCCGTCGTCCGGAAAAACGATCCGAATTATCCTGAATTTTCAACTTCCAATAACCTCCGAAAAAAGGGTCACACTTCCAAAATTCCAACACCACTGTATTCCTTACGTCTTGCCGAATCCAAAAATGTATAACAACACAGGTTAGAGATAAAATCCTCGGAAATACTGCACGATTTGCACGAGCTCACTTTAACCACGACTCTCCCAACTGCCGACTCGACGCCCTCTCTAAATATACGTACAGTGAAATCTCCAATAACACTCCTGAATAGCAGACAGCTCTACTTAATGGATATTTTTACAATCCCCAGACCCTTCAAATAGGACATCTATAATATGTATCTCTAAATAACAGACACTCTAAACAACGAACGCCATAACCTACCTCATGAAAACAGAAAGTCCCACCTTCAATATTCAGAAACAATTAATTATGTATGAAATCTTTTAAAACAAAAACAAAGAATCAGTTTGAGTACTCTTTCAGGGAACAAATTTCGACTGTAAGCATTGAATAAAGACTGGCTTAAAATAGGAATAGGGGAAGAAGACAGGTTGTAAAAAGCCAAACAATATTCTTTATCTGTTAGAGAAGACTAATCTGGTTACGTTGTCAATCACTATCATCATACATACTAATGTTATTAAACTTCTGTCTTATTGTTGGAATTAAGCTTATGGTACCAAAAAACCATAAACTTTTCCAAAGTTATTCATTCATTTGACAAGAACCATAGTACAGTAATAATGAAAAAAAAAAAACAGTTTTAATATTATGACATCAACATTTATTTGGTGAAAGTTCAAAAGTCGAGTTACAAAGACGATTTGCCAGCCACTTTATAGTGTATGAAGATATTCGGTTTTCTCAAATTTATGACATAATTTATGATCTTAACAGCTTTGTGGTGGCTAAAGTGAAATTTTTAATAGAACTGTGAGAACTGATAGGGAAAGGGAAAGACAATGCAATACAAGTAATTGGAGAAGAAATAAATGCAAATGGATAAAGCTGTTACTGGACTGCAAAATTTAGGAAACACCTGTTATATGAATGCAGTAATTCAGTGTCTGTTTCTTACTGTTCCCTTATCCTCTTACTTTATTAGTGGAACCTAAAAAATGATGTAAATAGGGATAAGAAAAGTTGTAATTTAACAGAAGAATTTGCTATCATAATTAAATGTTTATGGAGTGGTAGTTATAAATGTAATTTTTAATAAATCAGTTATTGAAAAAAGTAAAAATGTTTAAAAAATTACACCTACTTGATAAGTATAAAGCAGATAAATCACTATATCAATTTTTATTAGTTGATTAGATCATAAATGATGTTATAAATGCAAGAATATGGAATACACTTTCCACACCTTGAAGTGGCTTTGTAACTCAACATTCAAACTCTCACTGCTAAACCAACCTTCGTCCACCGTTCTCTTTGTAATAACAGTTTCATTTTTCTTTTTCATTACTTCCACTTAGATCATTTTTGATGAATTAATAATTAATCAATGTTAGTTTTGTCATAATTTTTATATTCCATTTAATTAAAGTATCCTTTTCAATCTATTTCTTTTTAGAATTCAATTAAAATATAATTTTTAAAGCTGAAGAGATAAATAATATACTGTATAGTGCTGTATAATACTTGCTGTAAGATAGTCTACCGAAAGAATTATTTCGGATTAAAGAGACAACCATTCACTGAATGAATATACAGCTACAATTAGTAAATTCAACATATGATTGAATATACTGTATATATTTTTTAATTATATATGCTACGTGTACTTTTTGGTATTTTCATATTCCTAATGAAAATTTGATGTTTTTGTAATATATCATACTCTTCACTATATGACGACTGCATTAAAATACAGTATGGCCACTGGTATGTACGGTACAGTACTTTCCAATAGCAGACAAACTTCTTGGTCTCGATGGTGTCTGCTATTTGCAGATTATAGTGTTCTTTAAAACAATGGTTCTCAATTATTTATGGGCTCAGAGCACACTTAAAAAATTATGCAAAGGTTGCATCACACTTTTTATTATTAAATAGTCAAATCTCAGTACAGTGATTATCAATATGATAAAATCCTCTTTAACAAAAAGAAATATAGTACCATATGCACTTTGTATTAGGTTAACATTGGTTTAACTATATCCTCTACTGCAATAAAAACAAATATATAAATTCAATATTTTAAATATTTTTTTTTCGAAAAATTTTTTTTAATTTTGTAGACCTGAATTTTATTGGTAAAATTGCTGAAACATTTGTTCTGAAAAATATTTTGGAAGGAAGAAATTGTCCTCAAGTTTCTGGATACAAATTCACTGAGTTCAGCGTTAATAAAGTTCCTTTAGTATTAACATAAGCACTTTCGATGAGTGTATAACTGTTGTCTTCAGGTGAAATGAACAAATTTTAACGAAACAAATGAGCAGAATGTTCCAAAGGAACAAAATATTTAAATTCAAACCAGGTGTCCAGAAATTTCGTTAAGAACGTGCAAATAATTTTTGATATGTTCGAATCTTTAAATTTTTACAATGCTAGCGGCGCATGCGTGGAAATGCTACCGCATTGGCGATACGATGTCAGGCGCATTTCGTTTTTTAGATGCCAATACAAGGCAATCCACACCCCGGGTAGATTGAGGGTGGGAACATTTCATGCTTCTGTAGTAGCCATGAGAAGTGCTTCCCAGATGAACACAAACCTTCGATTGTTGCAGCATTTAATTATTACTGTTCTGGGACATAACGGGTTGTTGTCTTGCTCAAGAACTTTTTTAGTGAGCTCTGTAGAACATCTTCCTTTGGCTACATCGTCCTGATACTCAGCAAGGCGGGAGGCGAGCATTCTTGTTGTTGCTCCTATGTATCTTGTAATAGCTCCCGTTGCCGGATTTTCTAGGTGTATTGTGTAAACCCCTGACTTTTCTAAAATGGTCAGCCTGTCCCGATCATTGCAGATACATCTGCATAGGTTTGGTAGGAGGTTATGGGCAGTATGAAATTATACCGCTGAAATATACGGCTGATGCGTGTAGAGTTTGGTCCAAGATACGGCAATGACAACTGGATCACGGATGCTTTTTCTTTTCTGTACAGCGTGGTTACTTTACCTTACAGAGCACATGTTTATATTTGCCATGCGTGAATCCAGCGAGAGATACTGCTAATCCGACGATGTCTAATTCAATTTTTGTTGCTAGCTGCATCAATGGAAGCAGTAATGCCCTTCTAACGAGTGCAGCAATGGCAGCATTGATGTACCGCGACGGTTGGAAAGCATCTGCCGGGATAATATACGGTAACACATTAGATTTGTGATGAACAGCAAATTGCGGCCCTCACCGACTTTTGTATACACAGATCCAGGAACATTATTGATTCCTCATGCTCCTTCTCCCAAGTGAAACTGATAGTAGGGTATATGCTTGAGAGTTGCTGCACAAATTTGATAAACTCCTCCTCTGTGTTCTCCCATACTATTAGGATATTGTCAACATAATGTAAGTATACACACAGATAACTGATGATAAGAGGGGAGTTGAAAATTCTACACTCAATTTCTCTCATGACGAGCTCGGCCAAGACTGCAGATAGCAGGGAGCCCATAGGAACTCCTCGCTTCTGAAAGTAGACGCTCTTGTTGAAAAGGAAATAATTGTGCTCAGTGATGAATGTCAGCACATCACGTATGTCTAGCACTTGTATGTTAAATCCCTTTTTGATGATCAAGGAGTTGGCAAGTATTACAGCTTCAAAAACAGGTACAGATGGCTATAAGGACACCACATCCAACTTTTAGAAAGTATAGGAATCTTCATATGTACCACTCATTTTGGAAGCAAATGGTGGACTTGGCAGCTACAGACAACAGGGTAACATATGGAGATTCCGGAAGAAGTTCACACAAAAACTTTGCGAGAGTCTTTTCTAGGAAATATGTAGGATGCAATCTCTTGTTTACCATTGGGCGTAACGGCCAGTTTGCTTTATGCGTTTTCGGTTGAAAGAATAGCCTGAGGCATGCTACGTTGGTGGGAGGATCAAGACACCAAGTTAAAGTCGAGGCTACTCCTGGTAAAGCTATTATTTTCTTTGTCCTTCACAGTACTGTTGGTGTTGGATCGTTGTTTATCATCTGTGATTGTGATTGTGATAGGAACTCATTGGCTCTAAAGACAAAATCATCCTCCTTGCACAGAACAAATCATTTGTCCTTATCAGAGACCAGAAGCCTCAAGTTATTCGTAGCTAGGAATTGTTTTACTTGCTTCATGGTTCACATGGCATTTAGGCGCACCAGACGCTTGCTTCGCCACTGCAAGCTTTGTAATGATTTCTAACTCCATTTGTGGATACGTGGCTGCTGCTTGGCAGGATTTCAAATGCTGCTAATGCCGCTGGGACTAACTAGTTAACGTCGGTATTATTAGGGGGGGAGATATATTTGGGTCTCCTTTGTAGTATGCTGTGCACTTCAATGGGCACATCTTCTTCCATATAATTATAATACGGAGTGGTTGTTACCACCCTTCTTTGTATATGTGACGAGCTCATTAACCATTGAAGTTTTTCACTTAATTTCTTTCTTATCACCTGCGTAGAATTAGATGCTATGCTCCGTATTTTTCCTAATTCAATATATAGCATAGAAGGGTCACACGCTTTAGAGAATTACAGATGCGTCTGATAAGTTTGTAGTTCTGCTTCCACGAGGCACTTGCATTTATTCCTGATCAGCTTAGCTAAGAAGGATTTTTCTACCTTCGGAAGCATCCCTCGTAGGCACACCGGGAATGCCTTGCGTTTGAGTTGTATGCTCTTCGGTACTACCTGTTTTGTTCTGCACATCAAACTTTATTAATGCTGAACTCAGTGAATTTGTATCCAGAAACTATATAAAACTTGGCGTAAGTTTTTAAATTTAGCCTTTTTGTCCTCACAAGATTTTACATTAAACTTGAAACCAAGCCAAAACAAAACAAAACTAATTATGATAATTTCAAAAATTAGAATGCAAACAATATCAAAAATTTGGTTTAATTAATTAATATCCAACTTTTAATAACAAAGATTCAGAATCAAATAACACATTACCTGCAGTCATTGAAGATAAAAGAATAAGGGAGGATGGATTCATATGTCTTGTACATAAATCTCCTTCGCAACAACAAAAGAATAACTGTAGTTTTGATTCTCTACGAGTCTCCATGCAAGGTGTTTCACTGCTACAATCACGATGATTTCCAACCCAACAACCTATAATAGTATACATAATGAAAGGTTAATTTTTTATAAATTGTATTATTTGTAGTCAAAATAAAATATTCAATTCTTATATTTATATTCTTTTTTGTTTAAAATGTTATCAATGTTCTTCACTGCATAGATAATTTTTAATTTCAAATTTTAAATACACTTTAAATGTTTGGAATAAATAAAATAAATTATGTAGATTCTCATCAAGAAAAAGATCATACCTATACATATATGACTAATCCCTTGCATTTTTTATTTATCAAATTTCTCATAGCAGTAAAAATTTCTTTAGCCAGTCTATCTTAATGAGAAAGTGTTCAATAATAATAATATAAAAACCTCATCCCACTTAATGGCTACATTCTTGAATGAAGTACTTTTACTAGTGCAATGTTATCTTTGTGCCAGAAACATTACATCATATTCATCAAATCTTTCTTCTAAAACAGGGGTGTCCGACCTTTTTGTTTCTCTGGGCCGCATTGGAAGAAGTCAAGGAGTTTTAAGCCACAAGTATATATAATATATACTTGTGGCCCAATATACAAGTATATTTAAGGATTAACATGTCTATTACTTTATCACGAAAAAAGATATTTTAAAAAATTACTTCTACAGACACTTTCAATTTTTACTTAGAAATAGATAAATTCATTTATTATTATTATTTATTATTCATTTATTATAAATTCATTTATTATATTTAATATAAAGAGACAAATGAAAATTTATTTAAAAAACACAAATATTTGTTTTATTTGAGTCTCTAATTAATAAAAAGCAACAAAACACCATTTTAAAATGGTGTTTTGTTGCTTTTTTCAACTAATATATATATATGGTTGTTTTGTGCATTTTTATTCAACTAATATATTTATAAATAATATGTAGCCCAAAAAGTAGCCAAAGTGCCAAATGATATTTTTTACATCAAATTAAAAAACAGTAGCCACATTTAGTGCAATGTAGCCAAATCTTGCAATGCTGGAAGGAATACTAAATAAAGCTGAAGTTGTGACTCAAAGGAGGTAAATAGAGCCAAATGCGGGGAAAGGAGAGAAAGGACAAAAGATAAAGTGAGAAAGGCTGGAAAATTAAGGCTCAATATTTGCATAATAGAAGATCTATTTAACCTTTCTCACTACTTTTTATCTTTTGTCCTTTCTCTCCTTTCCCCAAATTTGGGTCTATAATCCTTTGAGTCACAATTCCAGCATTATTTAGTAATTTTTCCTCATCTCCAAGTATTTGAAAATATTTCCTTTCCACTCAAAAATAAAATATGAATAAAAGTTTACAGCATTGTGAAACTTCTTTTTTGAGTTTATGCTGTTAAATAATAAAAAAATTAAACATTTGTTGGTTTTGTTCACATGTTTATTGGGCTGCATTGGAACTTGCGGACAGTTGCATTGGACTGCGGGTTAGACACCCCTGTTCTAAAGATTTAAACATATTTCTTATCCATGATGAACTCAGGATATTTTTATTCCAAATTATAAATTAGAAGTTCAGACTATTTACAAAAAATTAATTTAATTTTTGAGTCTATCAATGTAAAAGGTGTACTTCTATGGTGCATGAAAAAGGTGTACTTCTATGGTGCATGAAAAGGATTAATTAATCCTTTTCATGCACCATAGAAGTACACCTTTTACATTGGTTTGAAGAAATCACTTCATAAAAACAATTAATAGGTAGATACTGTATTACATTATTGAAAATGATCAGACGTCAGCCTTTCATTTTAGGTTCTGACGCCTATAACATTAAAAATCAAAGTAAATCTTCTCACCCAACTGTCAAATTTATACTCTTTGTATCTTTGTATAAACTTGACAGTTGGGTGAGAAGATTTACTTTGATTTTTAATGTTATAGGCGTCAGAACCTAAAATGAAAGGCTGACGTCTGATCATTTTCAATAATGTAATACAGTATTTACCTATTAATTGATTTTATGAAGTGATTTCTTCAAACCAATGTAAAAGGTGTACTTCTATGGTGCGTGAAAAGGATTAATTGATAGACTCAAAAATTAAATTAATTTTTTGTAAATAGTCTGAACTTCTAATTTATAATTTAGAAGAAAAATATCCTGAGTTCATCATGGATTTGAAACTACATGCAAATTAAAGATAACTTGTATCCACCACTAGAGGGCTTGAACCTGATACAAAGTGTATAAATTTGACAGTTGGGTGAGAAGATTTACTTTGATTTTTAATGTTATAGGCGTCAGAACCTAAAGTGAAAGGCTGACGTCTGATCATTTTTAATAATGTAATATTTACCTATTGTTAATTGTTTTTATGAAGTGATTTCTTCAAATCAATGTAAAAGGTGTACTTCTATGGTGCATGAAAAAGATTAATTGATAGACTCAAAAATTAAATTAATTTTTTGTAAATAGTCTGAACTTCTAATTTATAATATTTCTTATGTAAAACAGTAGAACTAGAGGCTGTATACTTTTAGTCGACAACCCTTGATTCAGCAGACCTATTATCTGTTAGCTGAATCAAGAGTTGTCGACTAAAAGGAAGGGACATCCACTATTCTCAAAAGTTTTTTAAATCAAATGTATTTTAAAATGTGAGGCTGGAACAACACCCCCCGGACGGGAACCTGCTGTCGAGCTAAAGTCAATAAATCAGTGACTTATTACATAAATAGGACTGGTGTGACCAAGGAATGGGGTGCGAGACGATTTAATTTCGCATTCCAGACCTAATTGACAGATCTGCGATCATCAATCATGAGAAGGAAAGAGGATTGTCTACCGGGGTAACTTTGGATGGTTACCTTACAGAGAGTTCAAAGCGGGACCTGCTGACACTCCCATAGAGGGGGTGGCGGCTAAGACAGCTATGTCTTCTCCGGGACAGAAAAATACACATTAGGTAAAATTTACGAATCCGTCATCCGGGAAAGGGCTTGACCCAACTCAGGAGGGGAACGGCCCAAGGATGTTCAGCGACCCCGCAGCCCGAATTGCATCCCTGGCAACAGACCAAGGGAACAATAGAGTTACAGAGAACCATCATTTAAACCAACCAAAACCTCAAAATTTCAGGAAAAAAAAGGTTATAAAAGCCTGAAATTCCAAGAACATGGGGAGGATGCAAGCTGGAGATTAAGAATGATGATTTCAGAGAATGGATCTGGAATAACCCAGAGGACCCAGAAATCTCCCAAGAAGTGAACGGAAGGGACTAGGACTCGACTTCCCAGTGCCAATTTTTCCATCCCTCCAACCTCCAAGCCTCTACCTATGACCCTCAGGAAGCGGATTCTCTCCATTTTTATCTGTGCCAACCTATATAATCAGAAAACGGACTATCCGGAGAGCTCCTCTTCAGTGATGGACGCCTTTTGACCAGTCATTGGTATAATTCATTGTAAGCATGATTTTCCATACAAATAAATGCATTAAATTTGGAGATTCAGTCTGTGTGAGTCTCTCTGCGTCCAGCAAACCACTACCCCCATAAGGAAAAGGCTTTCTCGCGTCATCCTGACAGATTGCAGGCAAAGCGAAAGTCATAAGCTTTAACCGAAAGATCAACTTCACAAGGTTGTCGTCCGGGCTACCACACCCCACAAAAAACAATGAGCTTAAAAGTACAGAATGTATTAAAATGTTTTTATAATATATAAGAATGGATAAATTATTATAATAAATATCTATATTATAAAAAGGTAATGTTTGTAAGTAAGTAAGTAAGTAAGTAAGTACTGTAAGTTTGGATGTAGCGGGTAATCTCCGAAACTACTCATCCGATTTCAAAAATTCTTTCACCAATATTTAGAATGGAACTTCAGGGTGCACATAGAGTGTATATTATTCCGTAAACATTCATATAAATTCAAACATATCATCTAGGGCTAAGGCTTTTAACAGATGGCGCTACGAGTATGACGCCCTAAGTTTGCTTTTCTGTGAGGATGAACTAAAGCAGATCATCTTCTATCTATCTATGTAAATAAAAATGTAATGTTCGTTTCTTCCTACCGATTCCTTTGAAATTTTGACACAATGCTGCATTCGAATGCACACGTGTTTTTATATAATATACTAGCTGTTACCTGCGACTTTGCCCGCAGAGGTTTTGCAAGCAAACCCCATTTATATTCAATATTTCAACAACCATAGTAATTGTTATATAACACCTACCGCTGAGAATGATGAGAATTGCTGAGAATCAAACAAACTATTTTCAATTTGATCAATTTTCTGGAACATTTACAATCATTCTATGATCGAACCAATATGCAATAACAAATTTGAATTTAAAAAGGTTCGAACATTTGGTTAAAAAATCAAAATATATAAAAATATTTATAACAATGTCTGAAAGGTTATTAATTTAATACACTTAAGTACTTAATGAAGACTAAACATAACAGAAAATCACATGTGAAATAGTACAGTAGAAGCCGTTCTTCTGGTTAAGCCTTAATGCTCTCCCTCTCCCCCTGCTGGGGAATTTCGAAAAATACCTTCTAAGTGTGCATTCCCATGACATACCCTACTAAAACACAGATAAAAACAAAAAATCACATCTAAAATAGTACAGTAGAAGCCATTCTTCCGGTTAAGCCTTAATGCTCTCCCTCTCCCCCTGCGGAGGAATTTTGAAAAATCCCTTCTTAGTGTGCGTTTCCATGACGTACCCTATCTGTGTACCAAATTTCACCTCTTTAGGTTAAGCGGTTTGCTCTGGGCGATGATGAATCAGTCAGTGAGTCATTCATTCAGTCAGTCAGTCAGTCAGGACAAGCAATTTTATAATATGTATATATTATAAAATTATAATAATATATGTGTTGAATTTCCCACACTGGGGAGATGGACAGGATTAAGGCTTACAGTAATGAACTCTGCTTCTATTTATACTATTTCAGATGCGTTTTTTTGCGTTTTTGATTGCATTTTAATAGGGTACATCAAGAGAATGTACACTAAGAAGGGATTTTTCAAAAAATTCCCCCCCTGGGGAAAGTGTTATACATTTATAATAGATACATTTTGAGCCACAACAACGTATGGTGGAGTCTGCTAGTTGACTAATAAAGCTGACTCATTGATCCAATCTTTTAACATGCTCTATTTGCAGAAGAAAGAGTTTTTTTTTTTTTAATTTTTCTTTTAGGACAGAAATTTTCATTTGTTAAATCTAAAGCATATTAAATTGACAACCTACTGTTTAGTTTTTCTGAGAGGACATCTTTTATTGTCCATTGTGGTTCTACCATACTCACATTAGGGCAGCAGAGTAAACAATGATGCAATGAATATTTGATTACTATTCGATATGTTTCGCTATTCAGCCAAATACCTAATATGTAATCACTATTCAGCAAATACCGAATACCTAAAAACAGGAGTAAGAAATAACAAAAACACAGTAAATTAATCATTTTGGTAACCTTTATAAATGCTGAATATACATCTCAAGTTCAAGATAGCACAATTTTTGCTTATTTATGTAAAAAATCAAAGGAAAAATAATATAACTAACTTATTTTCTTAAGAGATCAAAAAAAAGTAACAAATCAAATGAAAACTACATACTTATTATGTAGTTTAGTCATCTATATACTCATATATAAAAGAAAAAGTCCCAATAGGATAATTAACGCAGAGCCAAAACTACCAGTGCTAGAAACTTAAAAATTTGAGTGTGTGTTCCTTTTGTAAAGTTTAGGCATGCTAAGAAAAGATTTTACAAAATTCAACCCTAAAGGGGTGTAAAAAGGTAAAAAGTTTGTATGAAAATTTTTACTGCGTGGGCACATTAAATCGAAACTTAGGTCATAAAATGTGAAAATAATAATAATCAATGATCTGTAAAGTGTTTTTATGAAATCATCCCTTATTATAAACTCGAAAATTAAATTAACTTTTTTGTTTCATTGTACAAAATTATTTATCATAACTGAAGTTAATAAGTGATAGGTTATGGTGCAAAAAAATCAACTTTTCCACATTTTTGGGAAGAAGTATGTTCCTCTTTTCTTTGTATACATTTCCTGCTTCACTAAGAAGCCTCTCTGAATACACACTGCTTGCAGGAGCTGATAAGTACTTAGCAGCCAGTTTGACTCAACATTCGGGAAAATTTAGATTTATGTGTAGCCCACCAGACAAATGGATCGTCATTTCTCTTTAAAGTTTTCATGCTCAAGTACTTATCAAGTACTTATGTTATCAACTCAATTTCATATTTATTTTCATATTTTCACTTCATGGTCCTTCTCTGTTCTTTTTCTCTTATTTATACATTTAGGTCATTTCATTGTTACCCATACTTGATATCATCACTTATCACATACTGCCATGACGATCATGTCTGTCAGCTACAACTGTCAAGAATTAACATGATTGGCGAAGCATAGTGACAGCAGGCCAATAGAGAGCAAGGTCTGCAATCCTTGCCATAATGCAGTTTGCACGCCAATTTTTGTACATGCATTAATCAAGCTGAATAGTTTGGTCAGATATTCGATATTCAGCCTGAGGCTGAATATACTATTCATTGCATCATTAGTAAAGACCCATAATATTCATGTCAACTCATTCATAAAAACTTCCAAGTCAACCAACCCAGATTTGACCAACAATCTGCAGAATCAGCAGGCTAATGTCTTTATAGTCTTGTTAATCAAATCATCAGTGTCATATGTATAAGAATCTTATAAACATCAACTCTTTTGTAAAACAGAACAGTTTCTTTCAACCAAATGGCAAATTGATAACTTCCTAATAGTTATCAATCTTAAAAAGCATATATTGTGAATCTTTTTAAAGTCTCAAGACTGAATTTCCCATCAAATTCATAATTTCATAAAATATATTTTTCTTTTATGACTGAAATCTGTCAATTAATTTTCTTAGATGTATGATCAATGGATTTTGATGTCAGTAAGAAAGTAAATTTTGAAGGTTCTTCCTGTTTTTGTTCATCAAAAACTTTTAACAAGAAAATATATAAAAATTCTTATCTATCTGAAATAATACAGGAAACAGTTTTGGATCCAAAGAAGCAAGATTTGCCAAATGTGAATACAATATTTACAAGAATAAAAAATACCACTGCACAGGCAAATAAAGCTCTCTCTCTAAAGTAATCTAATTAAAAAATAAACCTATAATATTTTTACTGTCTATTAAACATATCATTAAAAATAACTAAATCTATTAAGACTAAAATTTATGCTAATACAATGTTAAATTAAATAAATATGTATAACAAACATCACAAAGCCCAATATGCATATAGAAACATCACCAAACAATTGCCTAAATAATTGGGCTATAATTCAATAATTTAATAATTAATACCAAGTAATTTGCTACTACAGGTAGATGTTAGTTGCCATCTCTTATCCAAATTAATAATTACAATTTAAATAATTTATTAAATAATTTAGAATCATCTGGAAAAAAAACTGACCTGGAGTAGGGCTTGAGCCTGCGACCTCCACTTGCCATGCGGTACACTTGCCAGTTGCACCATCCAGACCCCAAGCAAGCNAAATTAATAATTATAATTTAAATAATTTATTAAATAATTTAGAATCATCTGGAAAAAAAACTGACCTGGAGTAGGGCTTGAGCCTGCGACCTCCACTTGCCATGCGGTACACTTGCCAGTTGCACCATCCAGACGCCAAGCAAGCCTTCATTTCCAGATGTATTTAAATTTATATATAACCTAAGGTGGTTAATCATGAAGCTGGGGACAACTCCTATGCCCATGGACTAAGTAAAACTCCACAACAGCACTCAGCTAGCTAATATTTTACCTGATGAGCTATATATACCTGATGAGATATATATATATATATATATTTATTTATTTATTTATATATACATACATATAAGCCAGTGCCATGATTAACCACATAAGGTTATATCTAAATTTAAATACATCTGGAAATGAAGGCTTGCTTGGTGTCTGGATGGTGCAACTGGCAAGTGCACCGCACAGCAAACGGAAATTGCAGGCTCAAGCCTTGCCCCAGGTCAGTTTTTTTTCCAGATGATTCTAAATTATTTAATAAATTATTTAAATTATAATTATTAATTTGGATAAGAAATGGTGCCTAGCGTCTACCTCTAGTAGCAAATTACTTGGTATTAATTATTAAATTAGCAGAATTATAGCCCAATTATTTAGGCAATCGTTTGGTGATGTTAAAATAAATAAGTTTAAAAGTGCCAGCCTGAAAAGAAAGACCAAGAAAATTTTTATCACTACATAAGATGATAGTATAATAAATAAGAGATGTAAAGTATTAGTGATAGCTATGTAGATATAGACAAATTAATTCATTTATTTATTTATTTATTCTAAAAATTTTACATATTCCAGAGGTTTAAAATTAAAGAAAGTATGTATGCCATAAAAATTGGCACTTTTCCAATTTTTTGATATAATAATTGTTTCAACTATTTTAAAAAATATTTGAATTTAATGATCTGAAGCAGGAACAAAGTTCTGAAAATGTTTATCAATGTTACAAAAAGGCAATAATATAGATGAATGCAATGAAAGATCCAGATAAAGGTCATTAAAAATCAATTAGATCCTATAATTTTAAATTAATTTAAATTTAAAAAAAAAACATTTTCATACATTTAAATTTCTTTTCATTTGTATTTTGCTTCAATACTGATTGTTGACATAATGTTAATTCACCACGAATTACATAGATACAATGCAAATTATTAAATTAGCATTTCATTTGTTCAAAGATTATATTATTCTCACATACTGCGCTTTAACTGGATTATTGTAAATATTTAAAGACAAAAAAAAAACCCTATTCCAGCAAAAATTTTAGAGCCATTTTACAAATTTCTTACTGCACAGTAACTTTTTGAATACCCTATATAGTAACCAATTATCTATACTAATATTATAAAGAGGTAATGTTTGCAAGTTTGTATGTAGGGGTAATCTCCGAAACTACTCATCCGATTTCAAAAATTCTTTCACCAATATTTAGAATGGAACCTCAGACTGGACATAGGCTGTATATAATTCCGATAAACATTCATATAAATTACAATATATAATCTAGGTTAAGGCATTTATGTCCAACAGATGGCGCTACAAGTACGACGCCCAAGTTTGCTTTTCTGTGAGGCATTATGCTTTTCTGTGAGGATGAACTAAAGCAGATCATCTTCTATCTATCTATATAAATAAAAATGTATTCCTTTGAAATTTTGACACAATGCTGCATTCAAATGCACATGTGTTTTTACATAATATATGTGTCAAATTTCCCACACTGGAGGAGATGGACAGGATTAAGGCTTACAGTAATGAACTCTGCTTCTATTTATACTATTTTAGATGCAGTTTTTTGCATTTTTGATTGTGTTTTAATAGAGCATGTCAACAGAATATACACTAAAAAGGGATTTTTCTATATTCTCCCACGGGGAGAGGAACAGGATTAAGGCTTATCGTGAAGAACCTGGCTTCTATTATACTATTTTAGATGCGGTTTTTTGCGTTTTAATAGGGTACATCAAGAGAACGTACACTAAGAAGGGATTTTTCAAAAAATTTCCCCCCACAGGGAAAGTATTATACATTTATAATAGATACATTTTGAGCCACAACAACGCAGGACTGGGTCTGCTAGTTACAACTAGTTTGCCATGTTGTAGATTATAATTATTCAAATTATGAGCTAAATGAATCAATGTAAAAAGTCTATTGTGCATCACATAAACCTTTTGAGTTGATATTATATTATATAGAGCTTGAAAAAAGGATTTAAAGACAAATTTATTATGTTTATTATTAAACGTATCCTAGATCATAAATAAAGTTTTAAATTTATAGTAAAAATTTATTATACATTAGAACAAATGTAATCAATAATTTTTATTATTCTTAATATTCATATAAAAATAAAAATTTTTCTACCTTTGAGTTTAATACTAAGTCCATCACTGCTGTTTTGCCATAAAATATAACACAAGTTCTTTTTGATGTCCTCATTAGGTTTACATTCCTCAGTTCCATTACAGCCTAGACCAAGACTATTACTATTGCAAAGTGTTTCATTATAATATTCACAATATAATGAAGCAGAAGCAGTTGTTACAACTGTAATTTTAAGAACAATTTAATTAAAATTTGATTTCAATTTCAAATGAATCTTAAATGTCAAAATATAGTATTTATAACAATATTCACTAAAACATTACAATATTTAAATTAAAATTATATAAAATAGTTAAATATTAATAGAACAAGCACAGATACAGTTTAATATAACAACAAGATACAGTTTAATATAATACAGAACAAAATACAGTTTAATATAATACTACCATATTTACTTGAATGTAAGATGCACTTTCTTCAAGTTTTAATATCTTTGAAAATAAAGTGCATATTAAATCATATGCATCATAATAAGTGACCTCTAGTTGCTATGCATCTAATTTCTCTGTCATTAATTCCATTGCATCACTTCATGATTTTATTAGATCAACACCATTTTTATTATAACAAAAAAGCAACTTTCTTGTATGTGTAACAAACTAATTTTACTTCCTTATCTATTAAAATGTTTGATCATTTTTAAAAATCTCCAAGCAATCTAGCACATAACTAGTAAAGAATACAAATAAATGTTTACATATTTAAAAGTTAACATATATAGAATGTAGAAAATAGGACAGATGTAAAGACTAGAGAAAATATGTGAAGTATTAGGAAAGGATTATTAAATATAGGTAATCCTCAATATATAAGACTGATTGGTTCAGCAAGTATACCACATATTGAAGCAGAACACACCACAGTTAACAAATCAACAGGAAATAAATTACATCATTAATAAGTTGTCTGAAATTGTAAATTTTATATTTATATTTGCTTGAGCAGAATAAAAACATTGAAAAATAAAGATATCAAAAATTTATTCTCTTGCATTTCTGGGACCATAATAATCACAAAAAATTAAAATGTTTTACTTCAGGTAATCAACTTTATTTACAGCAAGTAACATTTTCATTCCTATTTCTATTTTGTGAAGCTAAAGATGTTATGAAATAGAAATGAAAACATTACTTTTGTAAATACAGCTGACTGAAATAAGCATTTAAATTTTTTGTGTAATTATTTTCACAATTAAAGATTTTTAGACAAAGTATGGTGTAGTCTGAAAACAATGAAAACTAATAACAAAAAATCTCATTAAACCTTGATTATAGAGTTTAGATCAGGGGTGTCCAACCTTTTTGTTTCTCTGGGCCACATTGGAAGAAGTCATGGAGTTTTGGGCCACTAGTATATTATATATACTTGTGGCTTAAGTATATTTTGGCCCAATCCTTCAATATACAAGTATATTTAAGGATTAACATGTCTAGATTATAGTAATAAGTATTAAAACTCTACGAAAAAGGTTATTTTAAAAAATTACTTCTATAGACACTTTCAGTTTTTACTTAGAAATAGATAAATTCATTTATTATAAAGGAGACAAACAAAAATTTATTTGAAAAACACAAACATTTGTTTTATTTGGGTCTCTAATTAATAAAAACGACGAAACACCATTTTAAAGTGCATTTTTATTCAAATAATACAGTCGACCCCCCTATAACACTGTTGATTATTCCGTTTTATATGAATTCCATGTTGTACGAGTCACTTAGATTTTACAAATACGTGAGCCGTTCACAGCCGGCACACTTATTTGTAAAATCTAAGTAACTCATACAACATGGAATTCATATAAAATGGAATAATCAACAGTGTTATAGGGGGGTCGACTGTAATTTATAAATAAGATGTAGCCCAAAACGTAGCCAATGTCCAAATGATATTTTTATGCCAAAGTAATAAAAGAGTAACGAAATTTGGCACAAAGTAGCCAAATCTTGCAACGCTGTAAGGAATACTAAATAAAGCTGGAGTTGGGACTCAAAGGATTATAGACTCAAATTGGGGGAAAGGAGAGAAAGGCCACAAGATAAAAGAATGTGGAAAATTAAGGGTCAATATTCGCATAACCGAAGGTCTATTTAACCTTTCTCACTGTTTTTTATCTTTAAACCTTTCTCACTGTTTTTTATCTTTAAACCTTTCTCTCCTTTCCCTGAATTTGAGTCTATACTCCTTTGAGTCACAACTCCAGCTTTATTTAGTAGCCTATATCTTCCTCATTCACACATTTCCAACTATTTGAAAATATTTTCTTTCCACTCAAAAATAAATTATGTATAAAGGTTTATGGCTTTGTGAAACTTCTTTTTTGAGATTATGCCATTGAAATAAATAAATTTGTCAGTTTTATTTACACGTTTATTGGGCCGCATTGGAACTTGCCTTGGGCCGCATGCGGCCCGCGGGTTGGACACCCCTGGTTTAGATTAACCACTAAAGAAGCAAAAAAAAGAAAACATGAAGTAAAACATTTTTAAAATCAATTAAAATATTTACAAACATTGCTGACATAGTTCCTGCCTCCTTTTTTTCTTTGTAGTTTTCTTTAAAAAAATGAACAATTAAAACAAATATTTTAGGAAATTACACTAAATGTAAAAATAAAAATTAAATTATCCAAATAAGAACATTGCACTAGAAAAACAAAAGATTCTCTTTTTTCCTACTAATTAACAGTGAGCAGGAGTAGACAGAAGGGATCAGTTCAATGTTGCTAGCTTCGAGCTTGATCGAGTTTAGAATTACTTAAGATTTATGAATTGGCCAGAAAACTTAAATGTACTAATTTCCTTGATGAAAATGGAATTTTGGCTGTATGAAAATCCTTATATGAAATGTACTGACCAAAAAAAAAAAAAAAAAAAAATGAAACTTGTTGCAATACTGATAGTATTCTTTGCAGCCTAAAAGCTGCTTGCCAACATTAATTGTAGAGAGAGTGGTAACCTTATGTTACCCCTCAGATGTTTTCAGTCAATTAATTAACCTTCATCAGGATCAAACAATTTTTCGATTTATGATGAGCGAAACTGATTATAGAACATTTTTAACTTTAAAAGTTTTCTCAACAGCTAAGCTACATAAGGTGCCTTTTTCTTCTTTCCATTTCCTCACCCTCCTTCTTCCCTTTCCTTTCTTCCACCAGCTAACACTTTGTGTCTTTCGTTAAAAAATAAAATAATGACACTATTTATTTGTTATAAGATACAGTAGAGTGTCGTTTATCCGAATCAATTGGAGACTGAGGTTCTTCGAATAACTTATTTTTCAGATAACCGATTATGTACGAAAAAATATATTAACCTAACCCATATTGAAATTTTTCTCCATTGCATGTCGCTTCGTGTTGAATTTTCGTCGATGTTAAGCCTAACGTAAACTTTTTAAAATAATAATCGTGGCTATTGTATCGTTAAAAACTATTTCTTTATTTCTTACAAACAAAATAAATATATTGAAAAATATAAAAACCAAAAAATATATACTTTAGAAGATGATCTAGTATCAAAAACATTCGATTCAACACGATACACAGTCCTCAGAAAAACACCACACAAATGTGCCAGTGCTGCCAACTAAAACACACAAACCAACAAAAAAAATATCGGAGTAGCCCAAGATATAGTCAAAGATTGCAGTGCCGCAGCACTAGCGAAAATTTAAAATTGCTGACTGGAATACTTTCAGATAACAAACTTTCGGATAAACGACGCTCTACTGTAGTTAATAATTTTATTCAGATATTTTGGATTTCTTAATGCAAAATATAATATTCTATTTTCTACATTCTATATACATTAATTTTTAAATACCTATACACTACTCAAACTGCACTTTCAAAAATAACTACACTTTACCAACCTTTAATATGCAGTCTATTTTATTAACGTAATCTAATGTTTTCGGTCAATTAATTAACCTTCATCAGGATCAAACAATTTTTCGATTTATGATGAGCGAAACTGATTATAGAACATTTTTAACTTTAAAAGTTTTCTCAACAGCTATTGCGCAAGTCCGAAAATAGATGAATAGAATCTACAGACTGAAAATGTACAAATGTACGCATACACTAATTATACACAAAAATAAAAGTAAAAATAAAAATTAATATTAATAAAGAAATAGATAAATGAATCTATATATATAATCGAGACGAGTTGATAATAATAATAATAATAATAATCAGTGCAGAGCCCAAACGGTTAGGAGTTGGAAGCTGAAATTTGGTACACAGTTAGGGTGCGTCACGAAAACGCACACTAAGAAGGGATTTTTCGAAATGCCCCCCTGGGGGGAGAGGGACAGGATTAAGCTTAACACTTCCATCAACAATAGAAGTGTTAAGTAACAATGAAAGTGTTAACAATGAAAGTGTCAACAATGGAAGTGTCAACAATGGAAGTGTCAACAATGGACGTGTTACATAACAATGGAGTTGTTAAGAGAAAGCAACGTTTTAAGAGAAAGTGCAGTTGGTTTTCGTTTTTGCAGGAAATTGAAGATATTTTTAGACCCATGTAAAAATTTTCTAATTAGTCTGGAAACGGGGGATCCAATTTTTGCATTCTGTGAAAACGGGTAAGGTTGACTATAACGTAATAATCTTAATCTTCGCTATCGTTACTTTTGCCCAAGTAACGCCGGGCCCACCTGCTAGTAGATAAATAAACAAGTGATGATATAATGGGCACCGACTAATGCCTATCTTTTATCTGTTTGTGCTTTTTTCTTTTGCTGGTATGTTCATAATGCCCCCTCTCTCCATGCTGTGGAGACTTTATATGATTCTCTGAAGTTTATAGCCTGTCCTGCTAGACTGCTTTTGTGAATATGCCCAGATGAAGCAGATGAATTATGAACATACCAGCAAAAGAAAGAAGCACGGAAGATAGGCATTAGTCGGTGCCCATTATATCATCACTTGTTTATTTATCTATTCATTTATCAATTTCTTTATTAATATTAATTTTTATTTTTACTTTTATTTTTATGTGACATTTGTACATTTTCAGTCTGTAGATTCTATTTATCTATTTTCGGACTTGCGCAATAGCTGTTGAGAAAACTTTTAAAGTTAAAAATGTTCTATAATCAGTTTCGTTCATCATAAATTGAAAAATTGTTTGATCCTGATGAAGGTCAAT